CAAGACAAATGTATAAAACTAAAAACAGGAACATGTCTGCATTGGTCCCTGCCAGGAGTCCAACAGATTCTTAAAGCCACTTAGAGAGGTCAAGGTCGAGAGCTTCAAATCTTTTTGTAAGATATTCCAGGAAACAGGAGCGGAATAGGAGAAGGTCCTTTTGCCTAGTTCAGTCCATGAGGGAACACTGCAGGTAATAATGTCCTGAGAGCGCACTCCGTAGCTGCACTCACGCAGAGACATGTAGGAGGAGATGTATGAAGGCAGCAGACCAAGAAGTGATTTAAAGATGAAAATGTACCAGTGAGAGAGTCTGCGTGAAGTTAATGATGTCCAGTTAACCAATGAATACTGGGTGCAGTGGTGGGTACGATAATCACAGCCAGTTATGAATCTTAGTGCACCATGATAGACAGCATCCAACATCTGCAGGGTTCTTGTAGGAGCGTTCATGTAAATAATATCACCAAAATCAATTGAGGGAAGGAAAGTCACAGATACAAGGCGTTTTCTAGCATTCAGGGTTAGACAGGATTTGTTTCTGAAAAAGAAACCCAGTTTAACACAAAGTTTGTTTTCTCAGTTAAACCCAGTTTAACTTTCAGTTTCTTTACCAAGTTTTCCACATGGAGCTTAAAAGAAAGATGTGAGTGTAACTGCTTACTTCCATCTGCGTAATATCGCTAAAGTTACCACACCATACCATTTTATTTATAGAGCACTTAAAACAGCGACAAGGCCAACCAAAGAGCTGTACAGACAGAACAACAGGTAACCCACAAAGCAAAATACAAAATGAGGTAAATCAGAATATAGACATAAAAACGATGCAGATAATGACGACAAACCAGTGTGGAGCATACAGGTTCAAAACACAGATCCTCCGGTGTTGAAAGCTACCGAATAGTAGTGAGTTTTTAAACGGGACTTGAAAACCGAGATGGGGGGCCTGTCTGACAAGCAGAGGTAACTCGTTCCAAAGTCTTGGTCCTGCTACAGAGAAGGCCCTGTCACCTCTGCGTTTAAGACGAGTTCCTGGAACTGTGAGGAGCAACTGGTCCGCTGACCTCAGTGAACGTGGTGGGATATACGGTTGTAGCAGATCAGAGAGATGGGGGGGGGGGGGGGGGGGCACTGTTCAGTGATTTGTAGACATACAGGAGTATTTTGAACTGGATTCGAAAGTGAACCGGTAACCAGTGCAGTGAGGCCAAAACTGGTGTAATGTGCTCTCTTTTGCCTGTACTGGTTAAAAATCGGGCTGCTGCATTCTGGACCAGTTGTAGTCGTGCAATGGAGGTCTGACTGATACCAAACAGGAGTGAATTGCAGTAATCAAGCCTAGATGTAATGAATGCACGTATTACTGTCTCCAGGTTATTTTTGGACAATATGGGCTTAGAAACAGTTAGAAACATCTTGTGAAAAAATTACGCAAGAAAAACTGGTTCATGCATTTGTCACATCTAAGCTGGACTATCGCAATGGTTTATTATCTGTATGTCCAAAAACGTCTTTAAAAAGTCTTCAGTTGATCCAAAATGCAGCTGCCAGAGTTTTAACGAGTTGCTAGAAGAGATCATATCTCTCCAGTTTAACTTCTCTTCAATGGCTCCCTGTCAAATCCAGAATATAATTCAAAATCTTACTTCTAATCTACAAAGCTCTCAACAACCTAGCTCCATCTTATATGACAGATCTTATTGTTCCATATTTTCCTAACAGAGCACTTTGCTTAGACTGCAGGCTTACTTGTGATTCTTGGGAGGTTCCAAAAGCAAAATGAGAGGCAAAGCTTTGTTATCACAATCCTCTCTTGTGGAACCAACTTCCAGTTTCTGTCCATGAGGCTGACACATTGTCCAGTTTTAAGATCAGACTTAAGACTTTCCTTTTTGATAAATCTTTAAGTCAGAGAACACAGAATATGGAGAAAGATCTTTGGAATAGTATGGTTTTAAACAGTCAACACACAGGAATTAAATATACAGTATAATTTGAAACTAGGATGTAAAAAACAGATTATGAGCTACATTCACAGCTTGCCTTCATGAAACCGGTGCAGCATCAACCCAGTGCCTTATGCAGTGAAGTCATGTACCGTAATCTGTGAAACTTTTAAGCAGGTTCTGGGAAAAGTGGCGTGTTTTTGCTTCATTGACTGCAACATGTCAACATGTCGAGTTCAGTTTATATCTGCGTCTCAGACCGACCTGCTCAGTTACCAGGGAGGCGAGTCGTGCCCCAGGCCATGATGGCAGCTTCACTGCTGACGGAAGGAAGGCAAATTCATCTTTTCAGACGAGGGCACAAATTGGGTTCATTTTTCAAGGTAATGTTTGTCTGTTGGAGGATGTTTCAACTAGTTTGTCTTTTAATTTAAGTTATCTTATTTTTCTTAAACCAAAACAAAAAGACTGAAAAGGAAATGTGGGGAAATGACAGTTTTCATTTAAGAAACAAACAAAAGTTTTTGGGTTTTTTTGGAAACGTTTTCCTTCATCACCACAAATATACGTTCTATCCTCGGGTTACTTTTATTTTTAATTATTTTGTGCAACAAACCGTCTAAGTGAAGTTACAAAATCTTAATGTGTTGTCAACAAATTTGGTGCCTCTCTGTTTTTGGAGATAAAATTGTATTATTGTTGGACAAAACCAGGCCCAGTTTTGGATCATTTTTGTTGCTTTATGCTAAAGTCAACTATAAAAATCCATTTAAAATGCAGTGTGAATGCTTATTGCAGAAGAACTTGCTGAGAAACAGCTGAAATGAGGAAGAAAAAAAATCAGAAATGGAAGACTAAGCCTTCTTTAGCAGAAAAAAGCAGAACACATTTCCTGAATTATGTTTAAATAAGCAGAAATTAGATAGATAAATAAATAAATAAATAAATAGCCGAAAAGTAGCTAAAAAGGCTGAAATAAGCTTAAATTACCAGAAGGAAGTGTGGAATACATTTTTTGCTGAATTAGGCTGAAAAATGTTTACATTACTGCAAAAAAAGATGAAATTATCTGAAAAAGCTAAAATTAGCATAACAGCTAAATAGCTGAAATAGCAGTAAAAGCTCAAACTTGCAGACATTAGCTGAAAGGAGCATAACAAGATGAAATTAGCAGAAACAAGTTAGAAGCACAAACATGTTGTAGTTAGAAAGGAGCACAAAACAGCAACAACAAAAAAACTGCTGAAATTAGCTGAAAATGTTTACATTTGCACAAGGAAGCTGAAAGAAGCTGAAGCAGAACAAAATGTGAAAGAAGCAGTAACAGGTTGTAAACGGATCTAAAGAGATGAAGGATGTTAAATGAGCTCAGTTCATATTCTGAGGAAAAAAAAAGTGGCAGAAAAAGCTAAATGTTAAATAAATAAATAAAGTTTCAAAAAGCTAAAGTTGCACCAATACCAACAGTCACAACAGGATTGTCCTGAAAGAGCTGATCGTTTTGATACTAGTTGAAATATCTTGAAAACTGTGGGACAAGAATCGCACTGAAAAACGTACGGATGAAAAATGGATCACAGTATGTTGACTGCAGACAGAACGTCTTCTTTAATGATTTTTTATTTTATTTTACAAAAATAAAATATCAAATCACAACTATTAAATTAAGAAAGCAGTCTAAAAAAAATAAAACTGTAACCTGTGTAGGATTTGTAAAGCAGTTCAGCGCGCGGAAACAGTCGACACTTCAACAGCGGCTGTAATTTGTTTAGCCTGCCTGATGTTGACCGAACTCATCCCAGAAGCTGCAAGGTGGTCACACGTACACCGTTCTTTTGCCAAGCTTTCCCATCCAAGGCAATTTCACAGCTCGGCTGTAGCGACTTTTTCCCCATTTCGTCCCCTTCAAACTCAATTTCAAAGCGTTCTGGGAGACAGCAGTGGCTTCTCTGTTGGTCGATCACATTTTCTCATTAATTTAAAGCCATCGTAGATGCTTTCCAATTACGACATGAATAATAAATAGGTCTTTTAGTCTCCTTGTGGTGGGAAAAGCCCTATTTAATTAACTGTCTATCCAAGTGTATTATGGTAACTGTTTATCTATAGTAAGAAAAAGAAGACCACAACAAGACGTATAGCAATGCAATGCCAAGACTTAATAAACTTCCAGTCAGTTTGTGTTAGCAGTGAGCTGGTAAATGCTGTCAATGTTAAACCATAGAATATTGTTTAGGGTGTGACGTGCCTCTAATGACGTTTCTCATGTGATCTAATCACAGCCGCTCTCCTGTCAAATTAAGTAACTCCTTTCATATTTTAGAAAACTTTCTGAATCAAAAGCTTCAATATGATCCAAGATTCAATTTGCAAGTAATTAAACATTACAACCATTTCACTCAGTTGTTTTTTTTTTTTTTTTTAAAAAAGGAGAAAATCAGATGAGGTCAATAAAACTGTGGATGAATTGACGTCTTGTTGCATCTGTCAGAGCTGCAATGTTCAGGATAACTGTTCTTCAGTTTATGAGTTTCTAACTGCTGAGATCACAGATGTTTGGCTTATCGAGTAATCTCCATGCAGTGGGGTTCTCCTGATTATCATGGCATTAATGCTACATATGAAGCCACCATTAATAATTCAGTACCTTGTCTACCTCAATTAGGGACCTCCCTCTGGTCTGGTCTCGTGTCCTGTTTGTGCAAGGCTCCTGTGCAGGATGATTGTGGAGGTGCCATGTCTCCACCTAAAGGTAACCCGAGGAACTGAGCAGGAGCCCCTGTGTGTGTCCCACATGATAAAATGAACTGATATCATAAACACTCCCCGAAGTATTTGAATCAGAGCCAATTATACATCTCTGTTTTGTTCGATGACACCTTCAGGTACAAGCAGATATGATTAGGCTGACAATTTAAGGATATTTAAGGGAAATGATGTTTATAGTTGCACATCTATACAGGTTTTCATTCAAAGAATTAACGTTTTGAGAACAGTCATTGATTAGGCTGAATGTAATACACTACATGTACAACTTTATTTTACGCCTTGAACAGTAAAATGAAATAATCCCAGGAGTATTGCATATTAAATATTGAAAGGGTGGTGGAAAAAATTACATGAACTCTGAAAGCTTTTCCTTCACTTTTTCTTCAATGTTTGCATAGTATTTCATTTTGGTAAGGAGTGCTCTGGCAGCATGGAGCTCTCCTGCAGAAAAAGAAAAGAAAAAGAGTGCAACAGAAAGTTCAATCGATGAATCTCTAAAGAAAAGGTTCAGCATAGATTACAAAACAAACAAACGGAGCGAGTGGGTGGAACACACAATGTTTCAGTGACGTCCGATTATAGTACCTTTATGAAGGGCAGCATCTATCTGCACTGTCAAGTCTGCAAGTTTCCCTGCAGAGGAGAAGACAAGAGCCAGTGCAGCGTGAGTTAATAAGAGGAGGCGCATACAGCGTTGTATGCTTTGAATTCCAAGAAACCAAACGACACGCTAGCATCTTTGCTTCACTTGAAACAAAACATCGTGTTAAGGATCTCAAAGACAAGCAGCTTGTTAACGTCTTCAAATACGCAGCGTTGCAAACATGAGCGAAGTAAAATGTTTAGGTGTACAAAATGAAAACGGTACACACGTCACAGCCAGAGATAAAAATGACAGGTATCTGACTTTTTAAACCATTTTATGACCTTTGTGTTTTTTAGAACCGCGCCTTATTTTTGAATAGTGTTTATTATGATGAATGTTCCTGCGTTATGTTTTTCACTTTGTGTAATTATCTATCCGGTTTTCAGTGGCCAATAAAGATGGATGAAGCCAATGAGCTTTAAATTTTAAGGTAAGTGAAGAGGAACAACTTCATTTAAGTGACACCAGTTTCAAACGCACCCATCCATCCATCATCTTTACCCGCTTCTTCCTTTTTGGGTCGCGGGATCACTGGTATCCATATCCAGCCATCACTGTGCGAGAGGTGTGGTACGCACTGGACAGGTGGCAAGTCAATCACAGGGCAACTTTATTCAAATATAAAGCCTGTAGTTTGTTTATGCAAAACATTTAGAAGCCTGAGTCGCTCTTTCTGGTCAGGAAGATGGTGGTGATTAATCTGAAAATAACTATCATCAAATAGACAGGAGGCCTCAAAGACATGGACGTTTGTCCATTCAGGTTCTCCATTTTACTTTGTAGCCCCAACCATCATCCAAATATGGTCACCGTGGGAACATCCACATGGTGGGTTGAAAATTAATGTAAACAATATTAATATTGTATAATTTATTTGTTGTAAGGGAATGTGTATTTTTGTGCTCACCGTGCTCCAGAACTTTACTTGATTAATGTAGAATTATATCTGTGCCTGCTCTTGTTAATTAATTAATGATATTAAAATGTTCCATGATCCTTTCCCCTATGTTATACCGGTAATCACTGTTGCTGTGCAGTAAGAAGATAGTGGAGAGGTCATCTTTTAATATTTTGAAGACTTTTGAATGTTATGGTAGACACAGTGATTATTCCCCATAAGGATCCTTGAGAAATCTCCACCTCCAGTGGCTCTCTGTGTGTGCAGCTGCTGGGTTCAGTTCTGAAAATACAGGACAAGGCGCGGGGGGGGGGACTCTTCACCAGTCCAAGCTTTATGGGAACGTGGCAAAGAGAGACACCAATGAAGAAAACTCATAATAAATCTTGACAAAAGTTTGCCAAATGGTATGTGGAAGACTTCATGGTCAGGTGCTTCTTGGCAGCTGGTCTTTATTTCCAACGTAACAAATCAAACAGAGACACATAAACTGTAGAAACTGAAGAAAGGAAGAGCTGTGCCAAATAACCCAGTACATGCTTTGTTCATTGAGTAAGTGAATGTGTTCAAACCAGTACTGCAAATGAACAAACACTAATTTTGTTGCATTTCAATAAATTTAAGATGTCTTCAGTAAAGAAAAGGGGAAAAAATAAAAATGGAAATAGTCACAAAACTTATAATGGATGAAAATTAGCTACTGTGCTAACTCCGGCATATTTACATTGATGCTTACTGCTAACATGTTGATTAATATGCATTGTCCTAATTTAAATAAAGAAATAAAAAATAAAAAAATAAAAAATAAAGACACGTTTTCTTTCTCTCCTCTTGCACCTGATGACAAATCACCCAACTACAATTTAAATTAGACAATAACGCTTTGGTTTACCTTTAGTGTCTTGGCCAATCTTTCTGGCTTCTTCTGGAGTCTGAGCTTCAGCGACGGCTTCATTGATCTCCATCAGCTCCAACAGAAAGTCTGGATCCGCTTCAGAGTCCGTGCCCTCATCCAGATGCAAGCCCTTCAGCTCCAGCTGAAACATACGACAGAACCTTCTGCTCTTTTCAACAAACTCCTGATTGTCAAACACTGTAGAATGATCAATTACATGGTCATAACTTAAAGTTATAAAATTATTCTTTGGAAAATGAATAAGGGATTTTAAGCTCACCATGTAGAGACCACGACTCAAAGGCTTGAGAAGAGTTTGGTACGCTTTGTTCACGAGCGCAGACTGGCTTTCTGAATACTCCAGTTCTTTCTGTAATGGACAGTTCAACTAAACGTCAGCCCACGATCATTTATTGAAAAAATGTGATTGTGAAGCTTTTTATGATTCATAACGAACACGCTATTTGTTTGAAACAACCAACATTCACAGCGTCCACATATAAACATTAAACGTTGACAAGTGGGAATAAATTCTGAGCTGTTGTACACGTTGCCATGTCCGTCTCCACCCGTCAAACCCCAAAATCCTTTTTTGGATCCTCACAATTAGGAACACGACAGACAGAAATGTTTCCAAAGTGTAACAGTTTGGAATCCTTTAAAGGACTCAAGTATGACTTTGACATGGCGCGTGTAAAAAGGAGGCGGAGAGGAAAATATCTTGGAAATGGTTGGCAGATCTGAGCTCATTCTGCAGCTATCAGCTCTGTCAGTTCTAGTGAAAATCAATAGTCTCACGCTCTGGCCCACAGGCTTGCCGTGTGAAGCTATTTCTGTAATAACAACCAGTATAGTAGGTGGCTGCCTTGTAACCTTGTACAAGTAATGAGTTTTCTATATATGATTAGGATCCCTGAGGCAGGAGGATGCCTAATTAATAAAAAATGACAAAAGGTGGTGATAAATAAAACATAATCTGGATACAGCTGCACTGGACAGGCTGCATTTGAGAATTTAGGATCTCTCTTCACATAATGTGACGATTCTCAGTTGAACTTTTATGTCATAATATGACTACAACGTGCAACATGCTTTTTTAACTTGACATGAGCTAAGACACAAATTGATAAAGATGAAAATGACACAATTAGTCAGTTAAAACCTGAATCCTAGTATTTCTGTGGACTAAAATATGATAACAGGACTCCCCCTGGAGTAGCAGTCTCTCCTTGCAGGATAACAGTATAATGATCGATAAAGAAAATCAAATGCAAATCCATCAACGGCGAAAATTGCTGCCGTCTTCGATGCCTTTCATTGTCAGGTACTCATTGCTTATGAGCTTGTAAAAAAAAAAAAAAAGGCAACATTTTGGTGAGCAATCTCTAAACGCCACCTCTAAATCCTAAAATAATAAATTGGGGTATATATTCTGCCGCCTAAGTTGGAGCAAGAAATAAACACTTATGGGGCTGTGTTTACTCAAGCAGAACAATCAATAATCCTATTATAGAAGAAGAAATGTCAGTGACCACAAGTGAGCCAGGAGATTAAAGGAAATATCCCTTATCTGTTATAAAGCTATAATAGATTATGGTATTAATATGAGCTCAGACTTGCTAGACTTACCCTAAATATGAAGGAATAAAAAAAAAACAGGAATAATTTCAGTTTACTTCTAACTCAAAGTCAAACCAACAAAGTAAAGGAAAAGTTATATTTGTTTGAAGTTGCATCACTGAGATACTTGCATTTGACATACAATAAAGACATAAAGGGAGTATATATATATCTATATATATATAGATATATATATATAGATATGTGTCATTATTGCCTGATATTTATACTACTTTAAAGAACAACAGTGTATGGTTTTAAGTTGCTCTTAATTCAAGTACATTTGTATAAATACACTCTGTATCAAGTTAAGTATTAATCTCTGTTGGGACTTTCCGATATTTACATACAACTGTTGCAGTAAGAGGAAATTGCAATTAGAAACTGAAATATCCAAAGCCTCTCGTTGGCAGCACAGTTAGTTATTTAAAACCTGTATCTAACATTTTCTATTGTACATTAATGTGCTGAAAGTAGGAACTGAATAATTTAGTTTAACGTACCAATGACAGATAAAATAACATTTATAGAGAAAATAAGATTTTACTCAAATTCAACCCTCAGATCTCACACTCGGTAGTTTGTAACTTTATTGTTTGGGTGGGATAAGAAAATTCCAAAGTTTTCATACACTAATAATAATCAGAGGTGGAAAGGAACGAATCTCCCTTTTGTTGAGGCTGAACACTTTCACATGGCATTACAGAATTAAAATAATTATCTAATGTTGTGTAATTGTTCCCATTAAGAAGCTGTGGAGGCTTACTGTTGCAGCTTAAATGCAAGTCCACATTTATGACATTTTATTAAAAAACAGACCTTATTTTGCCTAACGGCTTCAAAAACAATGCATTCAAACAAACAGTGCATTCCCTACCAAACCGAAAATTTTACAAGTTGGTTAGTAGTGTTGTGTAGACAGCTTCAAATAAAGTCTCCTTCACATTACATGTATTTGAAGTTAGGCACAGGTTTGCAGACTAAACATTTTGCTTTGCATGCTCACCTAAACTGCATAATAAACAGTTTCTAAAATAATACTGTCTATACCAAGTATTTTATTTTATTTTTTTACATAAACAGACACAGGTCAGGTTTGCATTCCAGATTTAACTACTTTCATTAAAATATCTGAGCTTTTTTTTTTGTTTCTAATTAAAATAATTCAATTAAACCAGCTATTTATACCACATATCTATTCTGGGAGTTTGTTGAATTTGTTCTAATTTAAGCAAATTATGACAAAAAGCAGAGAACACACAGGTGAATGATGTTCTTTTTAATCTTTAGTAGACTTCATGACTATATTTTTACTAGGTAGCATTTTCCTACTTATGACTAATGCAAATTCACATTATTTCAACACAATAGCCAACAAAATGGATTTTTTTAGGGGATGCCCCTGCCAGATATGTTTTCTATAGTAAGAAAATCACAAATTCACTAGTTAGAACCAATATTATATCCGAGTCAGCACAAAGGGTGGCATACCTATTAGGAGACTATTTTTTGCCATACAAAAAAATATCTATTTTAGTTTTCCCTAGTTTATTCCCCAAGCAAAATCACTGTGATTTGTGCTTAGAAAACAAAAATGCAGACTCAAGGAAACTTACAGGACCAATGTTCTGTGCCACAGTGCAACTAATAGACAGAAAAGCATCCTCTGACTCAGGAACCATTTCACTCAGCTGATCTCTGTTTCTCGTACATCATCCTCTGCCTACCACTGATTTCTGGCTGAAGTTGTCAGGATGAAGTGACCGCTGAAGCTGCAAGTATCTTGTCTGCAGCTTTTGTGTGTCCAGAGTGAATGTGTCGTCACTGCAAAGACAAAACAAAGACAGGAAGGAAAGATTCAGCTCCAAGACTGACTTAGGTTGATTTTCACATTTTTAATGGACATTAGGAGTTATAAGGTACTAACCAATCCATGATCTTGAAGTATGACGTCCTTTCCTGGGGAGGTTGGATAGTTTGGCATGAGCTGCAGAAGAATGTGGGCGATTTGACAAGAAGTTGTTTACATTTCCAGCAGTTCAGTTTAACTTCACTTGTGCTGCAGTTCCTCAGTGAAATGATTTTGTTATTGTAGTAAAACACTCCTCGTTCATTTCCCAATTTTCTGAAGAAGGCATTACTGTTCCAAGTGTCCTTCCTGTGGCAGCAAGTTGCCACACAGTGTGAGTTTCTTGTTACAGCACTTGGAGCAGGTAGTCGGTTCTTCATCAGCCAGCGTGGGTTTAGCACAGCCCGATGTAAACATGGAATTTGCAGTGAGGAAAATGAAAACATACCTAAGAAATAGAGCATATACACAGCTGCGATGGCAGTAACTGGATAAAATAGTCGTAATCAAAACAAGGACATTTCTCTCCTCGAACAGCAGAGGAAGAGAGTTTCTTCTTCTACGTTTAGTCAAACGGCACAGCGCCACCACTGGCTGGATGACGTAATAACAATAATGTCTCGGAGGTGCAGAGAAGAAAACCAGATAGCACTTTTTAAATCAGCGTTAAACTCAGATTATATTGTATGCAGCACACAATTTGAAGTAAGTTGAAGAAAGCTGATTTTTTTTATGCTTGTATGATGTGCCAGCTGCTGTCTTTTGCTAAGGATGCCAACTTCCCCCAACAGCAGCAGTCAACATGTAGCCGAGTTAGCTTCTTAGCTAGTGACTGATTAGCGTTGTTTGCTAGCGTGTTTAAATAGAAAAAAAAACACAAAATGTTTATTTCTCTGCTCTATGCTAACAAGCAAGAGACAACTTGCTTGTAAATTGTTGTTTATGTAAGACACCTGGAAGATCATTTTTAAACTCTAGTCGTTTTTAAGTTGTTTCCAGAGAAAAGTCATCCATTGATGTATTGCAGAGCTAACTTAGCTAAATCACAAAATGCATCTTCTAATATTATTACCATCATGGATGTTTGATGGATAGTCGTACCGACAGTCCAGATATTGTTCAATCTGCTATTCACTTTGGCAAGACTGCTTTGTGATTAAATTAATAACCCGTAAAGTTCATTGTGGTAAAGTGTTGAATTTGTCTGCAGGGCTTCACTGAGGGATGGTCTATAGAGATAATATACAGAACAGTATGAAACACATTTTCATCCCCCAAATGTCTTTTCTTCTCTCAGATCTCCTGTTAATCTGCATGACGATGAAAGAAGCAATGATCCATGAAAAGTCTTGGATACACAGAAAGTGGCTGGTCCACTGGAGACATCATCAAGCGCCGGAGCACAGATAACACCTCCTGTTTCTGACAAGTGATTACATTTCTGGGTGGACCTGTTGCTGCTATCTCATCTATCCATCCAGACTGCTGCGTTGGACATGTTGTTAGGTGTGTAAAAGGTCCTCAGATCTGAAGCCAGAGTCAATTTGTTTATTTGGCTGAAGATCAGACTAGGCCTCTAAACTTCTTGACTTTACAATTTCCTAACAATGTACAAGTTGTGCTGATTGTTAGGTCTTGATTTCTTGCTGTGTGTGTGAGTGTTCTGGGTACAGTGGGAGTGCAAAAAGTGACGGCAGACTGTTCCAGAGAGACAGTAGTTGGAGACAGAAGTATCCGCAAGGTAAACAGGATCTCCTCCTGAAGGTCGAGGGAGGTGCTTCTCAAGGTCCTCACAGACAATACTCTGGTTATTATTAAAGGAAATGACTAAGAATAGAGAGCAGGGGGGACAAGGTAGCTCCTGGCGCTTCATTTGTTTGGTTTAAACTAGCCAAAACGGAACATCATCTTTAGAAGAGCGATTTCTTTAGCTTCCTTGTTAGGTGTGTCGCAGTCGCACAAGGCAAAAGGTTGATTTCAAGGGCTGTATCTGTCATGGACAGCAGAGGCAAAGGACCGCAGTTGTGGATCTTTCTTCACTGTTTATAAATGGCATTGTTGTACTTTGCGTCTCAGTTTTGTAAGTAAAGCTAGTTTTAAATACATTCAGGACTTTTTTTTTTTTTTTTTGCATTTTTGATTAAGCAAAAGTTAAGTTTTCACAATACTGCTTATGTCTGAGTTGACTATTCAAATTTCTTGTCAGTACTAAAAATGTAGAGAAAGTTTGCATTTAGCAGATTTATCCTAGTTAGGAGGGAATTCAAAGTTTTTTGATGAGCTGTGTAAGCCTTATTCACAAATTTGGTATCAGTCACGATGTAATCACTACAAAACTGTAAGATCAAAGAAAGATGGATTAATGTAAAGCATGATCTGGAAAAAGTCTGGTTCTGGCTAAGCAAAAATAGCAATTATTTTTATCAGGAACACCAGTTTGTTCAGTATTTCTGGATCATTCTTGCTTAAAGCAAAGTAAACTTTGCATATCAGTTATCACTATCCACTTTGGTCTAAATACTTGTAAAGTACAATTGCTTGCTTGCTTATTTATTTCTTTATTTTTTTTTAACTTACTAACTTTTACTTACCATACTTGCCTACTTAAATTTTCAAACATTGCATTTGTCCATTACCAAACATTTGTCTTTATTACTATTTTAATCACAAAACCTTTGCTGGCAATTACTTTGTCCTGTAACTAATTGTGGCTAACGTCTTATTTTTATATAATTTTTTTAGTTTATTTTAAACTGTAGCATGATTGTAAATTATTTCAACTGAAAGCTGAAGAGAAGTAGCTATTACAAGACATTGAACACTTGGGTATAAGAACAATTCTGTTTTTATTTGCATTTCAGGGTTCATAAATGAAAATTGCACCGTGAAAAAAAAAATGTTGCACCATTCCTGCATTTCTTTGTACAAATATAATTTTTGCTATTCATATTGATTTGGCTTAAATTCGTAATGTGCCATCAACAACCCTACAGTGTTATAGTAAGCATAATTATTCATTATATTGTATCAGTGGAGGGTCATTTAAATGTAATCAGAAGGTTGCTGCCTTGAGAAAAAAATAAAGATTGTTGGCACTAATTCTCCACTTGAATCCCACCAAACCGTAACAGGTGGAGAAGATGCTTCATGAAAATGTTGTTGAAAGAGTCCCAGTGTAGCCTCAAAATGTGTAAAAATACAAAAAACACATAATGTCTATAATTTCACATTGTTATACAGGGAACACTAATGACTAATGACTTGCATGGTAATAACAAAATAATCAGAGTTCGCTCAAATAATCATAATCAGGCCATTGTTTAATGACCGTGAGGAACATTATGAATCTGCTTAATATCAGGTAACATCAGTGCGACAAAGTAAATTATCACAGTAAAGTAGCAACAAGCAAGTGTTCTTTGAAAGTACTGGCCATTGTGGTGGTTTTAGACACTATCAGCATAGAAATTATGATAAACTTTGTCAGCCTTATTTTTAAACTTTCAGACAGCTGAAAGGTTCAATGCATGGCACAACAGGTGTGATGTTGCAGTGGAGAAATCAAACTTACCACCTTTCATTTTTACTCTGCTTATCGTCTTAAACAAGACACTGGAGACAGTAGGCCTTCACCCCTTAGACTGTGCTTGTAACAGTTTGACTGCTGTTCAGTTGTGGTACATTTACTGACAGGGAAACTGAAAAAAACAAAGACAAAAGGATTATTTCAAGTGTCCGGTCTGCCATATATTCAAGCTTAAAACTGTCTGGGTTCAATTACTAGCTGATTGATTTGTGCATCCTTTATCAAAAAGCAACCTTTGCTTCTACAATTTTTGCTTCTTTACTTTTCGATTTCCCATTGTAGTAACAGTTGTGTTGTAAGTTGTGCTTAATTTGTAAACCAAACGATGCCAGAATGCAAATAGCGGTGGTGGTGGTGTGTGTAGTAGATGTCATTTCCTGCATTCTGGTGTATTTTAGAGGGCAGCGTTGAGTATTACCTCCATTGCCACTGCCTTAATGTGCTTCAATTCTCGGTTGTTTAGATGAACAATGAGAAGACTTTTTTTTAATGAAAGTACCGTATTTTTTGGACTATAAGGCACACTTAATATCCTCGAATTTTCTCAAAAATCGACAGTGCGCCTTATGTATTAATTTTGTTGTGCTTACTGACCTCGAACCAATTTTATGTGTATACACGGCACTCAAAAATCTGACAAACTTGTTTCGCTTAATGCGCCTTATAATCTGGTGCACCTTATAGTCCGAAAAATACAGTAAATTAGACTGTCGTTTTGACATTTTGAGCGCTGTTATTTTGACAAATTGGCACCGTTGTTTTGATTTGCCATGTAATTACTGTAATTACCCATCAAAATTTCTCATATTTTTAATAAATAATAAAATTTATGAATGACCCACTTAAACTGTAAAATGGTAAATGGTAAATGGACTGTACTTATATAGCGCCTTTCTATCTTATTGAGACACTCAAAGCGCTTTACAATACAGTCTGTGCCTCATTTACCCATTCATACAGCTCTATACTAGATCTCTACAAAACTAATTGAACAAATCATTCTAAAGAGACTAATCACTGATTTATCACATTCATTCACCGATGGGACACACATGGGAGGCAACAAGGGGTTCAGTGTCTTGCCCAGGGACACTTCGGCATGTGACTGCTGTGGGGTTCGAACCCCCAACTCTTCCATTGGAGGACGACTGCTCTAACCACTCAGCCACAGCCTCCCCCCAAAAAACTGATTTGTAATTTAGCTGTGCTATTTAATTATATTTTTGTGGGTTTAATTAAATTGCCCGTGACTGAACTTTTAGGGGTGGAGATTTCTTTTAAGGGTAGAAGTAGAAATGCTTACCTGAAGGCGCAGCTCTTAATATATTAGGAAGCTCGTAAGTGGCTGTTATGTTTAAAATTAGTGTTTATGTAATTGTTTTCAGATTACGTGTCCAATATAGGGTTTATTCATTCAAGGCAGTCAAATTTGTTCATAAATTTATTATTAGTAAGCCTTAAAGTTACCGGATTCAAGCAAACAGTTACCAGAACGAATATAATAATAATAATAATGTCATCACAATGTCAGCACTGTATGTTTCCATACAATGGCGAAATTAGTCTCTGCATTTAACCCATCCACCACCAGGTGGTGCAGTGGGCAGCTATTGAAAGCGCCTGGGAGGCTTGAAATAAGAGAGTTCCGTGTCCTGTTCTGGCAGGATCTGGCTCAAATTAAGCCCTGTGGTTACTTAAAAAACCGGTAACTAAACCATGGGTAACTGGTTTAGTCTTTGTAGCAGTGGAACAAACGGCAAAGCATAAAAACACTTTAGGATAGTAATATTGGTAGCTCGTTTAAATACTGAGGCTGCCGTTTAATATACCATATTATTTTACATTATTGGTGTTTAGTGTATATCTTAGATCCATGTATACTATTTATTTTTATACTTTATATTTTTTTGCTATTTTTGTGTGTAACTGGGACCTTGGGTACACAGTTTCGTTCCACCACATGTACCACGTGATGCGATTGACCATAAAGAACCTTGAAATGTTTTTTTTTTTTTTTTGTCAAGAACAAAACAAAATTATCTTAATTTGCTTATTTAATATATATTTATATATATTTTTTTAGAACACGTGTTTTCTGCACGTTTTTGTCTTTTTTCTCTTTTTAATGGGGACAATCCATTAATTCATTACCTGAACCTTTTATGGACATTCAGATCTAAACATACTGACATTTATATTTTGTAATTAGCTGCTTTGTTTTTTGCCCATAACATTTTTAAATGCCATGTCCCTTATGATATTTGTATGAATACAGGATTAATTGTTTTAACAGTATTTCATCTAATAATATGCTAGCCTGCCAGATCTATATAAACACATTTTTTTTTCTTCACAGTTTTTATTTTTTTCCTTTTTGCAAACTTTCACATGAATTATTTGGAATCATCAGATGTAAGGCTTTTGGCTTAAGTAGTTTTATGAGAATTGAAAGAAAATTACCTGCATTTTTGTTGTGCTTTATTTAATACTAGATGATTTTAATAATATCATCTTGTTTGTTTCCTCCACAGATAAGTCATGATCCCCATCACTGAGCTGCGTTACTTTGTGGACACACAGCCAGCGTACCGCATCCTAAAGCCATGGTGGGACGTGTTCACCGACTACATCTCCATTGTTATGTTAATGATTTCAGTGTTTGGTGGGACCCTTCAGATCACCCAGGACAAGATGATCTGCCTGCCCTGCAAATGGGTCGTCAATGAGACCTGCAAGAAGAACTTCAGTGCCAGCTCATCCACGTCGTTGCTGTTGGAGCCTAAAGGGATCCAGTATGATCTCGATCGCCACCAGTACAACTATGTTGACGCAGTGTGCTATGAAAATAGATTGCACTGGTTCGCCAAGTATTTCCCCTACCTAGTATTACTTCATACCCTTATTTTTTTAGCTTGCAGCAACTTTTGGTTTAAATTTCCTCGAACTAGTTCCAAACTGGAGCACTTTGTGTCGATCCTGCTCAAATGCTTTGACTCTCCGTGGACGAACCGAGCTCTGTCCGAGACGGTAGTTGAAGAAAGCGACCCCAAACCAATGAAGACGAACGGCTCAGTGGACCATCACAAGGCATCTGTAATAAGCGAGGACGTTGAAGCAAGTGTTCCCATGCTTCAAAGGACGAAGATGCGCTTTGAGCAGGGCATTGTAGATAGAACGGAAACGGGTGTTTTGGACAAGAAAGAAGGCGAACAGGCAAAGGCGCTGTTTGAAAAAGTGAAGAAGTTTCGTATCCATGTTGAAGAAGGAGACATTGTTTACAGACTATACATCCGTCAGACAATTATCAAAGTAATCAAATTTGTTTTCATAATCTGCTACACGGGGTATTACGTGCAGAATATTAAATTCAACGTGGACTGTTCTGTTAATATAGAAAGCTTGACCGGTTACAGCGTGTACCGCTGTGCTCATCCTCTTGCTACCCTTTTTAAAATCTTAGCCTGTTTCTACATTAGTTTAGTTGTGGTCTATGGTTTGATCTCCATGTACACACTTTGCTGGATGCTGCGGCGCTCCCTGAAGAAGTACTCCTTTGAATCCATCCGAGAAGAGAGCAGCTACAGTGACATACCGGATGTGAAGAATGACTTTGCGTTTATGTTGCACATGATCGATCAGTATGACCCTCTGTACTCCAAACGCTTTGCTGTGTTCCTGTCAGAAGTTAGTGAAAACAAGCTGCGGCAGTTCAACCTCAACAACGAGTGGACGCTTGATAAGCTCAGGCAACGGATCACCAAGAACTCCCAGGAGAAGTTGGAGTTGCATCTTTTCATGCTGAGTGGCATTCCAGATACAGTGTTCGATCTGACCGAGTTGGAGGTCCTCAAACTGGAGCTCATCCCAGATGTTACCATCCCGCCAATCATCGCCCAGCTGGTCACCCTGCGAGAGATGTGGCTTTATCACACCCCAGCCAAAATTGAAGCTCCAGCCTTGGCGTTTTTACGTGAGAACTTGAAGTCTCTGCACATAAAGTTCACTGACATTAAGGAAATTCCTTTATGGATTTACAGTTTGAAGAATCTTAGTGAACTTCATCTGACGGGGAACCTCAGTGCTGAAAACAACCGTTACATTGTCATCGATGGGCTCAGAGAGCTCAAGAGGCTCCAAGTTCTTCGTCTGAAAAGTAATCTCACCAAACTACCTCAAGTTGTGACTGATGTAGGCATGCACCTCCAGAAGCTTTCCATCAATAACGAAGGCACCAAGCTGATGGTGCTCAACAGCCTGAAGAAAATGGTGAACCTCACAGAACTGGAGCTTATTCGCTGCGATCTGGAACGCATACCGCACTCGATCTTCAGTTTGCACAACCTGCAGGAGATCGATCTGAAGGACAACAATCTGAAGACCATCGAGGAGATCATCAGCTTCCAGCACCTTCATCGGCTCATCTGCCTGAAGCTCTGGTACAACCAGATTGCCTACATTCCTATTCAGATTGGCACTCTGATCAACCTGGAAAAGCTGTATCTAAACAGGAACAAGATCGAGAAGATACCGAGCCAGCTGTTTTATTGTCGCAAGATGCGTGTTTTGGACTTGAGCCACAATAATTTAACGTCCATACCAACAGACATCGGCTTCCTGCAGAATTTACAATACCTGGCAGTGACAGCCAACAGGGCGAGTACTCGAATAATGTTTTTTTTAACAATATTAATCTTAGTCTTTTGTAATGTAATAGTAGATTTTCTTTGTCAGACTTTAGTGCTGAAATGTAACTTTTGCTCATTACATTTTCTGTCCATATTTCCCATTTTAAAATGCAGATCGAGACCTTGCCAAATGAGCTGTTCCAGTGCAAGAAGCTCCGCACTCTGAACTTGGGCAACAACTGCCTTCAGTCTCTGCCTTCACGTTTTGGAGAGCTGACTTGTCTGGCACAGCTGGAGCTAAGAGGAAACCGTCTGGAGTGTCTGCCTGTGGAGCTGGGAGAGTGCAGACAGCTAAAGAGGTCTGGTCTTGTGGTGGAAGAGGAGCTGTTCAACACCCTGCCCACTGAGGCGAAGGAACACTTGTGGAAAGCCGACAAAGAACAAACTTGAACAGGTCTGTGATTGAAGAAAAGTGTTACTGAACCATTTGTTCTGGAGACAGGAAGGAAAGCCCAGGTCATCCCTGAGACACGCACAAGTCAGACGTAAGAAGGTCCATGCTACTATTGACTGCCAGTAAGGTTGGGTATCAAAAACTAGTGCCAGCTCGATAGAACCAAAGTGCTGACTGGTTTATTTTGACCATTTTTGAAAAGAAAAAAAAAATCTTAACAGACCAGTGCCATTGTGATCAAAACCGTTTCTTTACATTTAAGCTTGTTTTTTTGTTGTGTAGATGTGGAAGTATGAAAAGCTGTGGGCCCTTTTTAAAGAGAACTACAAGTTAAAGAAAAGGCCTGTTTGGTCACATTTAAACATATTTAAAAAACGTTTTGTCCAGCTGGTTTAAAGAAACAAAGTTAAACTGCCAGCCATTATTTTTGTTGTAAATTGTTGAGCGTAAGCTGTGTCATACACACACACAATGACACAGTGTTAACTTAGGTTTTAAGGATGTTTGCAGATTTCCAGGTCTTTGTGTTTTTGTTTTTATGTTGACAGCAAAGCTGAAAGAAAAAGGCTACTGAGTTCATAGATGCACGCGTCGTGGAGTTGAAGTGTAGAGTTTAATTGTGTGATCCTTACCGTGGAGGCAGTTTGGCAGGAATGATAGGGTGATCATCTCATTCTGAGTCAAGTTGCGTGTTTGACCTAGAGTTCGAGGAACAGCAATATTTCTACAGAATGCTCCCATTTGGACCAACATTACAAGAACAGGGAAACCTCCGTCTTGTCGAAGCTCCGAAATTTACGGATGAAACCCGTGCCTTCTTGTAAAAGGTTGTTTTCCTCTGCAAAAAGAAGCTGAGAACTTCAAAGCTTTGTGTGACAAATGCTATGCTAAAGAGCTCAAACCACACCGAACGTCCGCCAATTTGAGAACCGGAAAAAAGGAAGAGACGGCCCATGTCACGTCAAAGAGCCTCCCTCCCATTTTTCTTAAAGAGACACGCTGCTCACTCCCTCACTATCCATCCTTCGGTTCAAACAGTCTTATACTGCCATTTGGTGGTCAAAAACGGTACTACATACAAAAATTAATAAATGTTTCTTCTTAAATTTAACAATTACTAATTATTGTCAAATTTCAAATTAATCGCCGAGCAAAATGTGTTATCGTGACAGGGCTAGTTGCAACATTCCTCACCTTAGAATTGAACCTCTAACTATTGGAAATTTGGTTCTTGTTACCCATAAAGGTAAAGCAAGTCACAAGACAATGGATTTATGGGATTATTTGGATTTATAACTACAGTAAAGTGGAAATATGAGATATTTGCATACCTGAGTGTCACTTTGAACTCTTGGTCTCAAGTTCATATCCTTTAAAACATTTCCATATAATAGTCCTTTTTTTTTTTTTTTTTTAATTCAGAAAAACATATAAAAAAACTTGATCAACTCAAATATTTTCTAAAAGTGAAATAACAGCTAAAATGTTACAAGCTATACACATCAACCTGGGAAAGTGAGATAAAAATGCAATTTTAGGCTTTACTGTTTTATTTCTAACACAAATTGCCCAATGTGAAATTATGTCTTAAGAAATGTCAAAGTTCTACTTATTACAAAAACAAGAAAAAAAATCCCTTAAATGAAAATAAAAACAAAAAACAGTTTATTTTCTGCCCTATTTTATGGACTGTTTGTGTTATTAAGTCATCTGCAGTGGTGAAAATATTGAACTTTTTGACAACTATGATGCTGTTTTTGTTTAATCTGTTTAAGATTGCTCCACCCCGTACATGATGGATAGGCAGGGCTCAATATTTATTTCTCCTCTGATATTTGATTCATCACGTTCTGTTGACATTTCACAAGTGAACATAACAGACGCCAGTAATTATTTTACACAAGTAATATTTTATATATCAAAAGCATGTTTTGGTCACATTTGTTTCCTTTCTTTTATATCTTCACTTTGTGACACTGAATGTGCTCATTTTATTTTTGCATAAGCTACAAATATTTGACTTACTGCCGATGAAAACAAAATATTGGCAAAGCACTTGTTGGATAAAGATACTCCAACTTATTTGGGAATTAATTTATTGTTTTCCAAGTTTTGAGTGTGTATGCCATGTGTATGTTTTAAATCTTTAAAGTTGTGCATCCATGCCATTGGAAAATATCCCTTTTATTTTCCTCTTCCTAAAGTGGAAATTATAGAGTATTATATTTCATTCTCTACCATGAATCTGAGTGACATTTCAACTAAATGTCTCATAAATGTTCATTTTATTTTGATAGTTTTGTTTGAAGTGTTTTTGCATGAAGGTAACTTTTTTTGAAAAATGTTTCTCACATTGTAGCATTTTAGCAGGGTTTTGGTTTGCCCTTAAAAAATCTACACGCACACACATATATATATATCCAAGTATAAACACGTGGACAGTATCAAACTACAGTATTAAAACCGGACTGAAACAGAAATCTATGAAGCTATGTGTATTTTCAGAGCATGTTTTACACTGCCATGCTGTGCAATATTGCCGTTATTTTAAGTATTTGAAGGCTCCAAGTGTTAAAGTTTTCTGATGTGCATCAACATTCCTTTTTTTTCAAAATGTATCCATAACTACAAGCAAAATAATTTAAAGAAAAGTAAATTATATAGCGTTTTTGGTCCTGGAGACTACAGCACCTTATGTTACATGGTGCAAATGCAGCAATTCATTTTATGTTTACACGATGTATTTTGTACCCTCTTTTTTTTTTTGGCATTTGAACACTGCCAGCTGAAAGAGTAAAGTGGCATTCTATTAGTATATATTTTTAATTTTTAAATTGCATACTTTTGTCATCTTTTTAAACAACTCTGCATGTTAGCAATAGACGTTTCTTAGACAATCAACATTTCTAAGTTTTACATAAACAGATTTAAAGTTTTCTGTGAATTTAAGGAGTTCCTTACGTTGCTAGTGAAGTCATGTGTGTATTTAGACCAGGTTTTCTCTTGTGTTAAACACACCCACTGTTTATTTTTATTTTTTTATATTATTAAAAATTTGTTACAATTGTGAAAGCTATATTATAGCACAGCTAAACCTCTCAGGAAACCAGCTAGTGTATCCATTTCCCGTCTTATGGTTGCCTATGTGTTTTAGTATACATGGTATTTTTATTGATTTGAACCACTATAATGGCATTTTGTGTATATTTCTTCTACACGGCTGGTTTGAAACAAATGTGGTTGTGTTTTTTCAGAGAAACCACTTGTTAGTATGTTACTTCTGTGTTCATCAGTCATTATGTATTCAAACTATCTTATTTGGGTTATTTTGAGTCACACAGGTCAAGTGTGTATGTTTGTATGATAATACTTGTCACCCATGTCTATGTTTGATAGTTAAAATCATGTATGGACACAAAATCATCATTCATTTTCCTCAATAAATTCACAAGGAACGTTTAGTTTTCATGCACATTTTTATGAAATGTATTTTTAAAGTTAAATTAAAAAAGTAAAAGCAATACTACTGGCATAAACCATGCAATAATGTTTGTGTATTCTGTTTGAACTAGCATTTTGTTCTGTTGTGTGAATCATCCACTAGAAACAATAAAATATACTCTTTTTGGTTGAATTTGTTTTTATTCTTTCTACAAATGCTCAACGCGTTTGCAAAGATAAATTATTTTTATTATTCATCCCCAGAGGGAAATTCACAATTTTCAGCAGTATCCACAAACATGATAAAAAGGAATGCATAATTATTATTTTTTTTAAGTTGGTAGAAAAGAAGTAAGTATTTGTAATGTTTCCTGTTTACTTTTGTTTTATTTATTAACCTTTGTTTTAACAGGCACATCACAACGAGATCGCAGATCTTTGATTTTTTTTTTTTTTAAACAGAGGCCTGGACCTTAAGGCAGCTTAAACATGCATGTTTTGAACTCCTGTTTTCATCTGATAATTTATTTTAATTTCAAACAAAACTTTTAAAAATTCCTGAAGTGAATTGAAATAGAAAAAAAAACGAGTCGTCTCAAAAGATATTCAGCCAAGACGGTCATTATTTGTATCTTCATTATTTTTGTATGCATTTTGATATTCGTTAGCATATTTAATACTTATTAAAAATCTAATATTTTATTACAATTGTTTGTGTACGTTGTTCTATAGGTTGTACTTTTACATACGCAAACTCAGAGTGGAAAAGTTAAGCGGAACCTTTGAGCGGTTGGTGCCATCCTTAGCCGGACGTATTTCTGTTGTGCACTGGAGCTCAAAGGCAACATTTCAAATGGTAAATTTCTTCAACTGATTTCGTTAGTATTTGGTAACAGTAAAACGTTCAGCCAATTTTAAACATAATTAACTGGTGTTATTTATTTATTGGGCTTAGTTTAGTTATGGACCAGATAACTACGTGGGTGTAAGCGTCGTCATTTTGACGTTTTTGCAAATTTGGCGAAAGAAAACTCAATCGGAGCTTCGAAGGTTTAATGCTTTGTTTTCATCTTCATTTTAGGCAGTTACCCTTCATACAGATCTTGGAGACCTTAAGATTGAGTTGTTTTGTGAACGCGCTCCGAAATCATGTGAGGTAAGTCTTGCGCTACTTTTAGAATACGACACGTTTTGTTTTGTTTTTGTTTTTTACCTAAAACGTTGATGGCAATAATTAAAAACCTGCTAAATAAATGTTAGCCTCATAAAAATAAATACATACACACAATCATATGTGTGCAATTTATTCAAGGAGGGTTTATCATACCTTGATTTTATACTTGTCTAAAATTTGTTTTAATTGCAATTTATTGTTTGTACTCTGTGTTGTCTAAAACAGGTCTCATGTAAATTAGTCCTCGTGACTCAATGACACCTGTATACATAACAGTTGAATTAATGAAATCATTACTGTTGTGATTCTATTTTGCAGAACTTCCTTGCCTTGTGTGCCAGTGGGTTCTATAATGGTTGCGTCTTCCACCGAAATATAAAAGGCTTCATGGTTCAGACTGGTGACCCTACAGGTATGAGAGTGTCTTTTTGCATCCAACAAATAGAAATATTAGGTTACACCATTATTTTATGAATTTTTTTGTTTTGTTTTTTTCCATATAATTTTGCATCATGAAAACATGCAGGCACTGGGAAAGGGGGAACAAGTATATGGGGCCGCAAATTTGAAGACGAGTTTAGTGAGCACTTAAAGGTGAGTAAATGATAAGTTCTACATTAAATGGAGTATGTTTTTGGTGGTCATAGTTTATAAGTAACACTTTGTGTATGTGATTTATTTTTTTCAGCATAATGTAAGAGGAGTCGTCTCCATGGCAAATAATGGCCCCAACACGAATGGTTCCCAGTTTTTCTTCACATATGCCAAACAGCCCCATCTGGACATGAAGTACACAGTGTTTGGAAAGTGTGTGACATGCATGGCATAACAACTGTATGAAAGTGAAAGGCACATTAGTGATTAGTTGATATGTTGGTTATAAACAACAGAATTATGCATTTCTAATTTATACCTACAATGACTATTTTATGATTACTCCTTCATAATCTGTTTATTTTGTCCTCACTCTTTTAATTATTATTATTTTTTTTACATAGAATCATTGATGGCTTGGAAACACTGGATGAACTGGAGAAGCAGCCCGTGAATGAAAAGACATTCCGACCGCTGACCGACAACCGGATAAAGGATGTGACCATTCACGCTAACCCTTTTGCTGGTTAGCTTTCATTTTTAGGCATTCAGACATGGAATTGTTTTGTTCCAGGAGGCTTCTTGATACAGTGCCTTGCCTAAGTTAAAATGGACCACTTGTCAAAGAGGGAAGAAATTGGAGAGAGAAAATCAGACATTTTCAGACAAAATGACTTGTGAACATGCAGAGGGCTGATTTGTCTTAAAGACAAGTTGAAGTCGCTGTCTGTGGAGTAAAACTGTTGTAACTTGATTAAAAAAAAATAATTCAGGGTGGTGCTCATTCGCGTTTTTATTTCTTTGCTCTTTTTAAACCCACACTGAAGTGACAGAAACATTGAAATGTGTTCCTGCAGATGTATTCAGAAGGGAATTTAAAAAAATAAAACATGGTTGACATTTTTAAATCATTGCTATTATCAGTTTTTGTACGCTGTTTGCAAATACATTACCTTTTTTGTACTAAATAAACTTCTGTAATAGATTTCTAATCGTTTTTGTCGCGCACACCTGAATTCTTTATGATAAACAATGTCGCGTGTAGTGACGTCATCATCAGTAGACAGCGCCACTTACTGCGTGCGGAACTCGCTTCAATGGCTTCTAACGACCCATTTAAAGTAAGTTTATATAATTTAATTTGATGATTATTTTCTGGTATGACCCGAAGTCTTTAACAACTGATTTTATTTTCTCTTCGGTTGCTTTAAAATGTGCCGTGATGTTTTTCTTCTTGTTTTCAGGTCTCGTCCCTGAAAGGGAAAGTGGTCCTGATCACGGGAGCCAGTTCGGGTATCGGTGCAGGAACGAGCCTCCTGTTCTCTAAACTCGGAGCTCTGTTGGCTCTGAACGGCAGAGACGTGGGAAACCTGCAGAAAGTTGCCAAACAGTGCGTGGACTGTGGTGCAGCCCAGGTACAGCTGACCAAATCACACGTGACCTGAAAATGTAAAGGAAGTGACAGAATGCACAATTAAAACTGCGGCAAAACACACTAAAATAAATATAAAATTACACGCACCAGAGTATTTGTTCAGTTTCTGTGCAGTAAAATCTTCAATGTTTAAACGCTGAGCATGAAGGAATGCATATCGCCCGCCACTGTTCATGCCAAACTTTAAAGCTGTTATCATGTTCTACCCCATTTCTGTCAAACCTCATGAATAATATGTTGTGCAATTTAGTTTTGAAAAAATCTGTCCAGTGGTTCATAAGATATTTTGCTAACAGAGTTGACTCCAAGCAAAGATCGCACGCAATATAGTACTGTGTGTTTCTCAAGTACAGTCTTGCCAAATTTAGCACAATATTTGTACAATTGGCAAAATATTATTCACTTTCGAGTGTATTAAGTTCAGTTGTCTGTGGTGGCCATCTTGATCTAAGATGGCCCCAAAATGCCATCAATTATAGATGTATATCAATCTGAAAGTTTTGTTCAAATCAGTACAGTGGATCATTAAATATTTTTCTAACGGACAGAAAATGACTCCAAATAGTAGTTTATGGCATAATATACACAATCAGAATAAGTGTTGGGGCTCAGTCACTACCACACCGGTTGTAGTTGTGCATCCAATGATTATGTTGTGAGTTTTATTAAAAACACACAAATGCAAAACCAAATGGACTCGGCTGTGTTTTTTATGCAGCCCTTGCTTGTTCCTGGAGACCTGACTGATGAAGAGACGGTGAGAAAAACAGTGGAGCAAACCATCGCCCACTTTGGACGACTGGATGTTTTGGTCAACAGCGCGGGCATCCTGGCCATGGGCGGCATCGAGACCGAAGACCTGTCTCAGTTCGACAAGGTCATGAACGTTAATGTCAGGTAGGAGTTTCCAAACCAGTGAGAGCAGCTGAAGGAAGAACTGGAAAAATGTCCAGTTTAACCAGGTGGTTGTTAAGTTCTCAATCGTTAGAAGTACGTCTCTGTATATTCTCTGATTGGTATGAGTTATTTTCTTGTATAATCACATAAAATGAAGACCTTAACAGAAAATTGTTATATTGGTTTAATTTAATTTTGCTCAAAAACTCTAAAACTAATCATGTTCTTGTGCCTGTCTACAGCCACGCATTCATGCACTCAAGCTTTATTTCTACAGGTTAGTCTCATTGAGTACAGGAGTTGGTCTCACTCCTGTGTCTGAAATTGAAATACCACCAGCCTTAGTTTTTAATTTAATTTAATTTTTTTTCTTAATATGAGTATCTCATTGAAACCATATTTTATATCCATCACTGCATGTTTGCTCCTGGTTTCAGTAAAAAATAAAATTCTGTATTTCTTATTTTTCTCATAAAATCCAAGCTAATTCTATAGTTCGTGATGTTTCTTTTATATTTAATAATTCACATCAGTTTATTTTATTTATATAGCACCAAGTCATATCAGAAGTCATCTCAGGGCACTGAACAGAAACATTTATATACATAAAATAAAAAGCCAATTGGTAAAAGTTAACTACGGAAGGAAGCAGCCGACTCACTGAATCCTCACTTTGTCACTGTCTCCCATCCTGAGCAAGCACAAAGGCAACAGTGGAAAGGAAAAAGTTTTTTTCCTTTTTAACGGAAGAAACTTCCAGTAGAACCAGGCTCAGGACAAGCAGCCATTTGCTTCGACTGGCAAGGGTTTGAGAGGACAGGAAGGAGAAACAAACACAGAATGGCAGGTCCCGGTGTGCTCTCCATAGGAGGACAAATAAACAAAGAAAACAAACATGTTAAGATAGGAATAATTACAAATACAAACAGGTACAGTAGAGTAAGTAAAGACGGCAGCAGAGAGGAAATGTGGTCAACTTGTCCTCCAGGAAGCCTATAGCAGCCTAACTAAGATATAGCTCAGGAAACCCAAGCCGACCCTAACTATAGGATTTATCAAAAAGGAAAGAAAGACTTCAGCCCAGTCTTAAAACTGGACGATGTGTCAGCCTCGCTGACATAAACTGGAAGTTGGTTCCACAAGAGAGGAGCCTGATAACTGAAAGCTCTGCCTCCCATTCTGCTTTTAGAAACTCTAGGAACCTCAAATAAACCTGCAGTCTTAGAGTGAAGCGCTCTGTTAGGAAAATATGGAACAATAAGATCTGTAATATAAGATGGAGCTAGGTTGTTGGGGGCTTTGTAGGTTAGAAATAAGATTTTGAATTCAATTCTGGACTTGACAGGGAGCCAGGGGAGAGAAGATATGATCTCTCCCACTAACTCCAGTTAAAACTCTGGCAGCAGCATTTTGGATCAACTGAAGACTTTTTAAAGAAGTATTTGGAAACCCAGATAACAAACCATTGCAATAGTCCAGTCTAGACGTGATATGAACCAGTTTTTCTGCATCATCAGTTAAGAACAGGGATACCATGGTCCTTAAACCAGGTACTGGTAGCTTTGGCACCGTGTGCAGGTGCCAAGTCCTGTTGGAAAATGAAATCTGCATCTCTATAAAGTTGGTCAGGAGGCAGGAAGTGTTCTAACTTCCTGGTAGATGACTGTGTTGACCTTGGACCTCAGAAAACACAGTGGACCAACACCAGCAGATGACATGGCACCCCAAACCATCACTGACTGTGGAAACTTGACACTGGACCTCAAGCAACGTGGATTCTGTGCCTCTCCTCTCTTCCTCCAGACTCTGGGACCTTGATTTCCAAAGGAAATGTAAAATGTACTTTCATCAGAGAACATAACTTTGGACCACTCAGCAGCAGTCCAGTCCTTTTTGTCTTTATCCCAGGCGAGACGCTTCTGACGCTGGTATTTTTGGACAAAAAGTTTCTAACCTCTGTGATATTATTTATAATAATTGTTAACCTAATGATTTGTTATAAGTTATATTTATAAATAATTAAATCATGAAGATGTAATATCCACGTTACATGCAGACATGTGCATCAATGAGTGGCCAAGATCAAAAAAGTCATAGTGATTGTCTTTAAAGGACATGGTGTCCTTTAGAGGTGCGTCTGGATTTTTCTAGGTCAGATCACTGAATGCAGCTCTGGCCAGCACATTTATCACTTCAGGTCATTTGTGTGGTGAATGAAGATGAAGCTCATTTGCAGTTCATTAAAACAAAAAAAGGAATAAAAACAGTTTTGTTTCCCACATCTGACTGCAACACCTTCATCTACCATGAACGATGAGTCTCCTGTCGCCACCCAGCAGACACCTAATCTAAATGTGGGATTTCACTGCTGAATCCAACCATAAATAATAGAGCATTTTCTTTTTTGCAATATGAAATGGGTGATTTATTTGAAATATTTATTACAAGGTTTTAAGTACACAAAGTTATGCCTTCACGTTTGTTTTTTCTTTTGTTTTTTTGTATTCTGTTTCGTTTCCAGATCTGTTTACCGCCTGACTCAACTCTGTGTGCCCCACCTGATCCAAACTAAAGGCTCCATTGTTAATGTGTCCAGCGTGAATGGACAGAGATCAGTGAGTCGTTTGCATCTATCAGCATCACTGCACTGTATACACTGTACAGTGTATTTTTAATGAGTGTTGTCACGAGTAAAATAAAATTCTCTGTAGTTCCCTGGTGTGTTGGCTTACTGCATGTCCAAGTCTGCCATTGATCAGTTTACACGCTGTGTAGCACTTGGTGAGTCGACTCGTTTTCATTTGTAAATGTTTACTATAAGTGCAGAAAATCAAAACAGGGCTTTTTATTGCAGAGCTGGCATCCAAACACGTCAGAGTGAACGCTGTCTGGTACGTTTAACTCTTCAAAGTTATTCCAATTTAAAAAAAAAAAAACATCGTTTGACTTAAAAATCACTTGGATATTTTTTTCCTTCAGTCCCGGTGTGATCATCACAGAAGTCCACAAGAGAGCAGGTCTGGACGACAATCAGTACGATCAGGTAATAAAACTGACACACTCGTCTGTTTATCTTCCTGCGGTTGTGTTTTTGTGCAACCAAAGCTCCTTTCACTCATGCGTTGCTTTTCATGAAACACACTGCAACTAATCCCGTCTGTGTTGCATGTGGTTTACCTCACAAAGGTTCCCCTGCAGCATGTCAGGATGGAAATCTGACTAGGTCATACGTGTAACATCTATAGATGACAGGTGCTTACTGCAGCATTTTGTCTGGTATTGTTGTTCCAGAGACTGTGATTATAATCACTTACATCTATGGATGTGGTGTCCATCTTTCCACCCACACTGTGGACATTTCTGTCCCTCTGTCACTGAGCTGTGACTGTTGGAGTCTAGTTAGTAAACTGCATCTGAGAGGGAGTCTCCCAAATGTTTCAAAACGTTTGCAGGGATTCTCAGTTTCCCTGCATGAGCTGTAGAGGCCCACAGTCTTACTGCTTGAATTTTTGCAATGTTTTATAGTAATTATTATTTGTCACATAATTGTTGCAGATGTCCTAAACCGATCTCAAACTTAATTTCAATAATTCGAGTGCCAGCTGTATTCTGACATCTGCACAGGGTAAGACAGACGACCTTAAAACCATTCCAAAGACGATAATTCAAAAGCTTGTTCAAATCAGCCCATCTTCTTCACTCCAGTGCACCAGTCTGCAACCTTTTTGATCAAAAAGCCATTTCTGCCCCTTCACTCATTAAATAAAAAAAGAGTCCGGAGCCACAAAACCTGCTACAACTGTGATAATCAACTGGTGGCCCATGGGCCACTTCTTTGAGTTAGTTAGAGGGGGCTTTTCTGACCAGTGGGGGTGACATTTTAAAACTAGTAATCAATAATGAAGTTCAACATTTATTGATATGTTTACATTTTAGGACCATTATGATGTAAAGAAGTAAAAACTTTTGTTTCTACCTTTTTAGATGAAAATGAAAACACTGAACTCTGCAGGCCTATGTGGCCTTTTATGAGAAATCAAGTATCAACTTTGAGGTAATACATTTTTAAAAAATAGTAGCGTTGCTCAAACATTTTTCAGAAAATTAACAAAAAACAGCCAAAACTAGACTTTTTTTTTTTTTTTTTTTTGTGGGTACAAAAACCAGAACAATTAAATGAATTCCCTGTAAGTTTTGGTCAAAGCTTCAAAGAGCCGCAGATGAGGGACTAAAGAGCTGCATGTGGCCCCAGAGCCACGGGTTGCAGACCCCTGTGATGGGGGATGTAAAGGTCATGGATGTTTTTCACTTATTAGTGGTAATATAGAACCATGTGTGTGAGTTAAGAGTTGTTTTGTTTGAACAAAGTGGACACAGCTGATAAACTTCAAGGCCCCTAAGCTGGAAAGCAGAGTTGTCTTGACTGCGCCTTTTCTGATAAGTGTATAAGTTGATGCTCCTTTATGCTGTCCATGGGCAGACCTTGTGATCCGGGCATCGTGTAACTTCTTGTGTCTTGGTTTTCAATTGCTGCTCGTCTTCCAAAGATTAAACCTGCGTTGTAAAGATCTTCTAGTTTCCTTACGTGGTTTATTTATGTAATGAATTGATGATAGGATAATTATATTATCCAACATCCTGCTCCAGTAGATGAAATCATAAAAGTGAGGGAGGTTGTCCAAAAAACAGTATGAAATGGATTTAGTGTTGGAAGAGGTGGGCATTATTCAAATTAAATGTGAAATAAAGTGTAATTAAAATTATGTGCATGGCCTAGAATACAGTTTTGCAAACCGTGCACAAAAAAAAATAAGCCTTGATTTTTAAAAACTGGCTGCACAATTTGCTGGTTGCAAACAGAATTCAGTGAGACTTATTTACTCACAAGTTCTAGTCTCCAGCAGCCCCCGTCAGGTGAGATACTGTTGTTTTCACTTCAACAGGCACGTGAATCCCCCAAACTCTAAAGCAACGTGGTTATATGTGTGAACCCTTTTTGTCTTTTCATCCTCAGTTTCTAGAAAAGTGCAAACACACCCACGCGCTGGGTCGGCCAGGCGAGGTCGAGGAGGTGGCGCACAGCATCGCCTTCCTGGCCTCTGATGCTGCCAGCTTCATCACCGGAGCGACTCTACCGATCGATGGGGGTCGCCATGCCATGTGCCCAAGATAAACCTTATTTAAAAATAATAATTTCCCCTCAATCATGCAAACTGTTCTAAAATGGTAATAAATTATTTGTAAAGAAAATGGAAGCTGCTTGTTTCAGTTTGACTTTTATTGCATTACAATGTGGAGCATCGTTCCTCGTAAAACATCTGTACAAACCGAACACCGTGAGCTTATGTACTGTGGTAATCTGAAATCCTCTGAGTTTACAGATTGGTGTGACCAATCATATTTAAAGCTCTACATGAGCAGTGATGAGCTGAAAACACGACAGTGATGCCTGCTTTTGAGGTGGAGAGAGTTACACAGAAGCCACATTTTAAAATAAAACCCACCGATACAACATGTTTGCATATTTATACAGTTATAACGAGACAAATGTAACTTTTAATGTCACCTTGCAAAGAACATTTAAAATAATAGTTTGTTCCGTGTGTGTAAATACTTGACGTTCTTCCCTTTTTTAGAGCAGAGAGATGAGTTTGAAGAGAGCCGACGGGAGTTTTATCAGCTGCCGCAGCACCAGGTGTCACCTCTGCGTCGTCCCAGATTAGATCAGGTCACGGCTTTTGTTTGCCGTCAGATTGGAGGTGCAGAGCGAGGTAGCAGCTCAACAGACTGTGGAAACTTGGCTCCACGTTCACACTGAAATGACGCTCAACGGTGTGAACACTTCAACACAAACAGCACCAAAGTTACCTGGAGTCAGGTTTGAGGCACACTCCATACCTGGAGGAGTGGTAGGACTTTAATACTGTCAAATATTTAAGGCTGTCAATAATAAGCATTGCACTTAATACCACAATATACAGTACAGCTATAAATATCACTTTAAACAATGAAATTATTTAATTTGCAGATGTTATGTTTATATTTCTGTACATATCTAAAATATATTGTTCTGTGTAACTGTCAGACCGTGAAGAAAGATATGTTACAACATGGTCTGAGAGATGAAAGTTCATTTGACTTCCTTCCACAGGAGTCAGCCAGGTCTCGTATCAAGTCTTTGAAAAAGGAGTTCATTATTGTTTTCCACCAGCTGACAAGTGTCAGAAGTCTGTTTTTTCAACGAGTCCTGTTCATCTGGAGCCCCGTTTCTGCAGTCCAAGCATATTTCGTGAGAAACGATGAGAAGAGGATGTTGAAGCATGAGTCTTGATCCTTTGGGGAGTGGGTTGGGCCCCATGGCGGCACCATCACAAGAAGCACACAGGTTTGACCTCCAAGTGAAACCGTGCTCCGGGTGCCGTGGTCGGCAAGTCGTGCACGTCCACTATAGGAAGCAAGTTTGGGTCCTGACTTTGGAAGATGAAGTGTGTCTGATGCCAGCGTCCATCTTTGATCTGAAAACCAAAATTGCACAAAATGACGTGAAAGACTTTTAATTTATTTATTTTTTTCTAGTGGAATCAGAGCAGAAGAAGTTTCAGCATTACACACAAACAAGCCCACACTGGACTAAATTAATATTAGTGTTGCACCAATGATTCTGAATAACCTACAGACCTCTCTGGAGACCGTTTTGATTGGACGTGGTCTCATCCAGACAAATCCTGGTTATTATTTGTGGATGAAATGTGAGTACCAATGTGATCACTGAACTAAATTTAGTTATTACAATACGACAGGAAGAATTGATGTTTATAAGAACTTGTGAAACACTTGGAGGTAAGGGATGAAATATTACATGTTTTTTATTATACGTTTTAATTGGAAAACTGATTTTATCATTTGTGCATAATCATGAAAAAAGAACAATATTTTCTCATATCAATGATTATTGAGAAGCGGGGGACACCCTGGACAGGTCTCCAGTCCATCACAGGGACACGGAGACAAACAACCATTCACTCTCTCACCTAGGGACAATTTAGAGTCACCAGTCAGCCCAACATGCATGTTTTTGGTCTGTGGGAGGAAACTGGAGTACTCTGAGGAAACCCACGCATGCACGGAGAGAACATGCAAACTCCACCCAAAAAGGCCCCCGGACCGGGATTTGATCCAGCAACCTTCTTGCTGAGAGGAACAGCTCTACAAACTTAGCCACTCCAGCCATATCTGGAAAACTATAAAGTAAATTATTTCAAACTGCACAGTTTGACGTAATTCAGGGTAACATTTCTGCTGGATTTCGTACTTTGCAATGAGTTGCAAAAAGTTGACTTCCAGTTTCCCTACAAGTCTCGTATAAAATGTTGCATCCTCAAGTCAGCACAAACAAATGCAAGAGTGTTAATTTCATCCATCCATTATCTTTACCCGTTTATTCCATTTTGGGTCACGGGGGTCGCTGGTGCCCATGTCCAGCAATCACTGTGCGAGGGGCGGGGTACACCCCGGACGGGTCGCAAGTCCATCACAGGGCCACATAGAGACAAACGAGACAAACAAGCATTCATTCTCTCACTCACACCTAGGGACAATTTAGAGTTACCAATCAGCCTAACATGCATGTTTTTGGACTGTGGGAAGAAACCGGAGTACCCGGAGAAAACCCACGCATGCACGGAGAGAACATGCAAACTCCACCCAGAAAGGCCCCTGGACCGGGGTTTGAACCAAGGACCTGCTCGCTGAGAGGCAGCAGCTCTACCAGTTGCGCCACCGTGCTGCGTGTTAATTTCATATCTATTTAATTAATTATTATTATTTTTTAAATGGTGCCTCAGTTGGTAGAGTTGTCGCTTCTCAGGGAGAAAGTCGCCGGATCAAATCCCATCCAGGCGGCCCCTCTGGGTGGAGTTCGCATGTTCTCTCCGTGCATGAGTGGGTTTTCTCCGGGTACACTGGTTTCCTCCCACAGACCAAAAACATGCATGTTAGGCTGATTGGTAACTAAATTTTCCCTAGGTGAGAGTGAGAGAGTGAATGGTTGTTTGTCTCACTGTGATGGACTGGAGACCTGGGTGTCCCCCACCTCTCAGTGACAGCTGGACATGGGCAGCAGTGACCCCCATGACCCAAAAAGGAAAAGCAGGTAAAAAATGATGGATGGATGGATAATTAAAAAAAAATACCAGGAGTTGCCAGACTCTCAGGTCTCTTCACATTTGTGTTTTTGGACTGACTGCAGAAGGCAATTATAGTGTCATAATCAATTCTAATGTCATAATCAATCAATTCTAATGTCATAATCATTCAATTCTAACGTCATAATCAATTTATTCTAGTGCCAGACATTTTATCAGAAGATTCATACAATCCAACAAAGGTGATCACACTGCAAACTTGGCAAAAGTTTCATGTCTAAACATCCGCCCTGCAAACAAGAATTAATGAACGTCTTCACCCCGGAGGGACTTTTTGTTTTTCAAGTGTTTGTTTTCAGTTCAAACTGTGTTTGAGTCCAAATGAAATGCAAACAAAAAATAAATTGCAAATGTGCTCATAAACTGAGAGAAGGCGTCAGATTCACTGACGCGAACGTCAAACCTGATGGGTTCGACATCGTCGCATTTCAGAAGGCGTGTACAATTTTCAAACAAAGCATTTTATTCACTTGAACACCGATTAAATACACGAGGAGAGAAGGTTAGACAGTCTCACCCAATGAAGGAGTTATTGCATCTAAAAATGATGAAAATAGTCCTCTTATCTTGGTGCCAGAAACCAAAGTGCATCAGTTTGTTGATTTAAAGTGTTTCAGCAGACGCACGAGTTAGAACTGGACCAAGAAGTGATGCAAGAAGGTGGACTGATCTGATTAGGTCTAAAAGTCTGTAAGTTAACAGGCCCCACCATGTGACTTCCTGGACTTTAGGCGTGTAAAAAAACATTGTGTAAAAAAAAAATGTGAGTAATAAACTCTTACCCAGCAATCGTCTGTGGCTACGAGAGGCTCCAGCAGGTCTCCCTGCTGTATCCTCTCCCCTGACCAGGCCTCGAAGCTCACAGCCTTGGATGAAGGTTGCTCAGAGGGTCCAGCTGCCCACACGGACGTGTTCAGGCAGTGAACGATGACGTGCTGCACGGCCTCGGTGCTCAGCAGGTGGATGAAATTCATCTGGATGCGACCCACTCCCACTTCCAACTAGACACAAAGAGGATTTATATCAAGTCAAACTTAAAAAAAAATGTTTTTTTTTCCCCAAATAATCTTGATTTAGGCGTATTAATAAAGAGGTAATATCTGTAAAAAGGCAATCTGGAACCTGGACAGCAATATCAAGTTTTAATCGTGTTGTAAATTTCAAAGGGCAACATCTGGATCACAGATTCTGCCTTAAATGTGACTGTCAGTGTGCATTATCCCCTGTGCTTTTCATGCAAAGTGAATAATGAAAACAGACCAGGCTGCATTTTGACTTTTTGTGTGCAGCGTGGTGTTTTATTGCAATATCACGAGGCTGAAACATCTCCAGTGGATGAGGAACTGATTAACATTCCAGAGGTTTACGTGCCAAAGGTCCATGCTTTAAATTAGTCTGACTATATTTTAAATTCACCAATCATGTTCCATGTAAATGTGCCTAAAAGCCATGTATAAAACAAGAAATGGGTCCTTATTTGCACTTAAATGCCTCATCTTAAACTAAAAGCTTTAATTCTTGATAAATCTAACAAAATCTGAACATTTTCCATCTGGATGCATGCAAACAATTTCTTTATCCACTATCAGTACTGTAAGCTCCCAAAGTATTCTTGTGTGTCTGTGCTTTATTGGTATAAAAAGGAAATCCCTACCTTGGAAATTGTAATAGGTTTAAGGCAAGTCTGTCCTCCAGCAGTGAAGTTGCACATCACTTCCATTTTGTCAGCGCTGCAGCCGAGATTTGGATCAATCCAATAAGAACCTGCCAGAAACGATGCAGGAAAGAAAAACAATAAAAGAGCAGCTGAGGCGTAACAAGCGCAGAAATGATGAAGCTTCTCAGGGCTTCTCACCATCGTGCACTCGTTGTTCACAGTTGTACAGGTCTCGACAGATTCGGGCGGGGTTGTCTCGGGTTCCCAGCGGGTTCCTCAGACTTTGGACAAGTGTGCTGAGATGCTGGAGGGTCTTTAGGACCTCCGTGCCCTGGTCTAACATGGGCACGTCCATGTTCGGCAAATTCTGGTGTTGGCACAGGTTAGGGTTTTGAACACGGTCGATTGCAGAACAAAAGTGCGCTAAAACAACAACTTGTGTTTAAGTTTGTGTAACGTCTTACAGTTTAAATAGAATAAATCTGACCTCTTGTTTTATAGAAGCACGAGAATCAAAGAGGATTTCAAAAGCAGCACCAAGAGCTTCATTTTTCTGCCAGCAGAAGAAACTTTAATACCGTGTCACGTTAAAAGCTCAAATTAAGATGTCTGAGGAAGCTTACTCACCAGAAGTAATGCAGAGGTGGAAAGACCCTTAAAAAACAATAGAAACAAGGATTGACACACAGTTTTAACCTTATATTCATTTCTGTAGAGCAGTGTGTGTGTGTGTGTGTGTGTGTTCATGAACAATTCTGTAAATCCTAATCTAGCGTGTTGGCCGTGGTGTTCAATTCTCCCTAAATATGCAGATAAGCTGAAACTCATTAATGAATGGACAGGAAATGAGCCATGAACGCACAAGAAATGAATCATATCAAATGCTGCAAAGAAGAGCCAGCAGCTGTAAGTGATTTTATTATATTACAGCAAACAACAGCCGGTCGAACTATAATGATTATCGCACAAATTACAGTATCCGCTCACAGTTCAGCAAATGCTTTTATTTCTCAGTCGTTATTATATTATTTCTCAGCCATTTTTTATTATGTATATTTTTACTGTATTTATCGCTGTATAAGTTGCACCTTTTTGCATGAATTTGCAAGTCCAGCGACTTATACATCGAAGCGACTAATATGTTTTCTCCCCATAGTTATAACCCATTTTTTTGCTGAGATCTGATGATTTCGTTCATTCTGACATGGAACATATTGAACATTACCATTTTTAGCCACTAGAGGGCCCTTGACTAATATGGCAAGCCAAGTGTCTCATTAAGAGATAAAAGTGGTTATTAATGAGACACTTGGCTTGCCATACAAAAACACCTTCGTCTCGCTCCAGAACTCCTGGAGCAAACATCAAATCAGCTGCATTTCGCTGCGCCACCCAGGCGAAATGCAGCTGATTTGACCACTAAAGTGGATTTATTGAGGAAAAGTTCAACTGAGACACACCTTTACTATAATTCCGAGCAAACAAATAATTGTTTTTAGGTGGTTATCTTGTTAAATTTAGACAAAATGCATAGCAAGTCCTCCCTCTGCTCGCTCCCGCTCCCGCAAATCGATTTTTGAAATGCAGCTGATTTGACCATCAAAGTGCATTTATTAAGGAAAAATTAGACTGAGACACAACTTTGCTATAATTTCGAGCAAACAAACAATTGTTTTTAAGTGTTAATCTTGTTAAATTCTTGATAAAGTCCTCCGGTGCATGCTTCCACAGCCACCATTTGGCAGCCAAACAATTTTAGGCACAACACCGGCCCACGTTCCCGGGTGGTCAGCGGTGATGCATAATAGATGTGACTTATACGTCGAAGCGACGTGTACGGCGGCAAGTATGGTAAATAATGAAACTTTGAAACCATTTTCTATATATATTTGTTTGTGTGATCACTTAAGACCCACCAATTAAGCATTTTGTCATAACTGTTGGCTGTGCCAGGAAGATTTTAAGAGGACGGCATTATTCCACAGAGATTCAAGTCTGATTCTGTTCTTGTGCAGCAAATGGCTGCAGGGTGCATCGTTTTTGATTGATCAAAGTGATGCAGCAGTTAATATTTTTTTTTTGTTAATTATTTTCAACTGTAGATATAACTCATGAAAACGTTGGAAGAAAACAGGACAGGTTGAACAGCAGCACCAATCAAAAAGCAGTTTCAGACTTTAGGCAGTCGTCGCCTGCAAATGACTTCTAACAACATTTTTTTTAATAACTTTAACGGCTGTATGCCTCGGGACACACCTAATTTGTTTTTATAAACTGTGCTCATGCATCACTGAATGTGTGACAAATGTAGTTTTCTTGTGAAACATGTGCAAAAAGAAGAACTTACTGGTGGTCCAGACGGTCCTTGAGGACCAGGAGATCCCTAAAAATGTACACATAATTATATTATATAATCCTTCCATAACCTGCAAATAATAATGATCCAGGTGTGTATAATTACTCACTCTTGGTCCTTGCAACCCCTGAAAGAGAAAAACAAAAATTGTTTACATGAATTAGAGCAAACCAAATAGATTATTTGTGAAGTGTAAACAATTTTACAACTAATTCACAAAAAAAGTGGAGCAATAATGTTTTTTTTTTTTTTTTGCCGGGTATGTACTTATATTTAACAATCTATACTGTTAGCAAAATATCTCATGAACCACTGGATGAATTGTAGTGAAACTCTCAGAAAGTAATCACTGGATGAACACAACTCATTAAGTTTTGGAGTCAGTTCCATTCAAAATGGCCGCCACAGCCAAGCAACTTTATCAAAAGAATCAAAAGCAACTACAATCAGCCAGTTTCACATATACTGACTTAGAATTTGTTGTGTTCGTAGCTGAAGCACATTGCACAAGATTTTTACTGAAAAAAAATTGTATCGACCGTATTTGTCTATTAGCAAAATATCTCATGAACCACTGGACCGATTTCAATGGAAGTCTCAGAAAGGAATCTTCAGAGGGATATCTGGAACTGGTTGAATTTTGGGGTCACCCTAATTCTCAAAAAGGTTGGCACAGATAATAAACATTTGCCAGTGCTAAAATGGCCAAACAATCAGCTTTATAGATACTGAGCAAATAATTTGTGGGGGTAGTAGCTGAGAGTCATCATCAAACTGTCAGAGCTATTATTGTGCAACATCTTTGCTTAAAACTTTGGTATCAGCTGTCACAGTCAACACTGTAATTCTGTGAGCAAATTATCTTATGAATTAAGATGAATATTTATGAAACTTTCAGAAAATCATCACATCTTGACTGCATGACGTCCTCAAAATTGCAGATAATGAGGTACACGGTAGTAGCTGAGAGTGATCCTCAACACGAATCTAATTTCTACATGGCAGCTCCGTACACGGACGTGGGCGTTTTAAGAGTGGGGCTGTAAATTATGCCTGTGTGTACGAGCGCTCAGCAAACCTCTTAAAAAGCCTGAGATGAGCAAGAAGCCCACATTCATCACACTGACAGGATTTCCACAGCAGCTAAGTGTCACTGTGAGTGTAACAACAAACAGAGCGACACAATAGGAAATGAAAAGCGCCGAAGGCAACGGAGAGTCTGAGTGGTGTGCCGGCTCCATACTAAGCATCCTATTCTGTGCTCACAGAACAGACAGACAGGGATTCATCAAAACAGCACCACGCACCGTCTCCCCGCGACTTCCTTTGTCACCCTGGGGTCCCTGATGGATAGAAAGAAGACAAACGATCACTCTATCACTGCCAAAAAGCAGAGAGAAGTCACATAAAGCTTGGCAGATGTGATGAGAGATGAGGTACATACTGGATGACCGCTGGGCCCAATGATGCCGGCGGGGCCAAGAGCCCCTTTCACACCCTGAGAAGCAGAAACATGGTGACTAAGGACACGTGTGATGAAGCATCTGATGAGGCCGCACTGATTTTTCACACCAAATGTGCAGTCTGTGAGAGTTCAATGCCCCAGCGTTGCCTCAAATAATTTACTGAGTCGCCAATCTGCTATTAATCTTCATTTTACCATCAGTCCTCGTGGTCCTTTTGGTCCCTGTATTCCTGCTGGACCCATGTCTCCTGGGGGACCCTGGAAACAAATTAACCAACCTCAGTGCAAACAATATGCAAGTTACTCTTTCTCTTATCAATACTAAAAACATGCAACAGTATGTACGGTCATATCAAGTATTTTTTTACTTAGAATGTAACCGTCTATAAAAAAAATCCTTTAAATAACCTCTGTTCTAGAAGAATAAGAACATTATTACTAATTTATTTTTGAACTGGTTGCACTTAGGGTGTACTTGTGTCCTAAACTGCGGTGTAAGGACAGGAATATATCTAAAATAATAATAAATCAGCTAAAGAATATTTGCCAAATTGTGTTGCTTTCCTTGTATAAATGTACTCCAGCCTCAAACTATGGCTTGAAATAACAATGCAGAATGTATCATTAGAGCAGGACTATTCAACAAAATTGCTCAGGGGGCCATAAGTTACTGAAAGCCAAGAGCTCAGGGGCCAGATATCCATTAGTTATTATTAGGGATGCACAATATTATCGGCATGGTATCGATATTGGCCAATATTAGCAATAAAGTTAAATATCGGACCTCGACAATTCCACCAAAATAACTCACCAAAATAAAAGGCTTCTGTTTTAAATTACTTTTTAATTTAAGAAAATGTCAAGTATATCTATTAATGCACTACAACTTATGCACTTTTCACTTGTCGATTGTGAACGGGTTGAGTTTAGATTTGTGAAAATGTACAAATTTGCACTGTTCGAGTGTTGTCGTTGTGTTAGAAAGAATAAACGTCATGAATAAATTTGACAATAAACATAATCCAAGTTGAAGTGTTATATCATTTTCATCCCTCTTTTTGGCATCTGCATTTGGTAGCAGGCCAAACTGACAAAGACCATGCAGAATAATGTAGTATTTTAATTCCACAGCAGAGAAAGCTATGCAGTCTCTGTAAGTAGGTCTAGGAAAAAAATATCGGTATTGGTATCTGTTATCGGATAAATAAGTTTTAACATATCAGCATATCGGATATGGGCCAAAAATTCAATATTGTGCATCCCCAGTTATTATCATTAAGTAACTTTGTTTTATGGTTAAAAAATCTGGTTTTATTTAAAAATGAACCCAATGCTGGGCCGAACTTAGCTAACCTGTGGACCTGATTTGGCTCCCGGGCCATCAGTTGAATAGCCCTGCATTACGGTGTGTGCTTATCTAGACAAGTGGGTTAGCTGTAGGACCTCTGCTACCAACAAGCAAATGCACGAGTGCACTGATTTGTTTTACATTTAATGGGACTGTTGTCAGCAGTTAAATATTCGCAACAATCCCAGAAGAAAACTAATCATAAGCAGAGATCCCTCCAGGATTTGAGATGCTCAAACTTTCCAGCAGAGCCGTAACATTTCCAGTTTAATTCAATAACTTTAATTGTCTAAAACTTTCTGCTTATGAGTTAGAATGTATTGAACACTGTCACACAGCTAAACCATTTCAAACTAAAATGTTTGACTTTACTCTGAAGGTTTTGAATTAAAGACAATGTTCTGTTTCTTCATCTGGTTATGATCTACGCTGCAACAGAGCTGAAAGTAGAACAGACGTTAGGCAGATCAGAAGTCATCTTGGGGCAGGTTACAGTAAAACCTCGCAGCTTTAATTCCTTATCCTCCCAAAGATGACATAATCCGTTGTATTTCCTGTCAATTTTAGATGTTTAAACTTTGGAAACACACTTTTACACAAAGATGGGTTAAACCTGGAACTTGTTTTGCACTTATTTTACTGCCTCTGAGCCATAAAGTCTGGTCTAAAGGTTGGTTACTGGAAATGTAAAACTTGAGTGTTGAACAGACTCCACAGAAACTCACCTTTGGTCCAAACAGCCCTAACACGCCTGGAAAACCCTGTTCACCACCATCCCCCTGATAAACAGAGAAGAGTTTGATGATCACTATCCAGCAAATGAAAGGCGTCATATAAAATAATTTAGCTTATTAGGAGGATCTGTGCTAACTGGTTGCCCTTTAAGTCCTAGTTCTCCTTGTTTTCCAGGCAGTCCCATCACGCCAACAGAGCCTCTCTTTCCCACTGAACCAATCTGGCCTGGCAGACCTCTCTCCCCCTGGAAAAAAGACATAAACATCTTTCTTACATCACACAACCTCTGCACACTTACACAGACCATTACAGACAACAAGCTGCCGGTTCATGACCCCTCACAGACCTCCTACCTGTGGTCTCTTATAATTGCATTCAGTATGGTCACTGATCAAAACTAACGAGAATTTAACTTCCAAGTTCGGTGGCTTGGGGTTTGAGCTCATTACCTTACATCACTTGGAAGTCTCCAAGTTTGTTTTAATTATCAAAACTGTCTGAATTGAATAAATGCTGATGTGTCCGTTTCCAAAATATGACCTAATGCAACTTTATACCCAGACGGATGAAATAGAAAAAACTGCATAATGTTATAGAAACAATAAACACAGATTGTCTGTGTTTCTTGAACATCACTGAGTTTATAATTTATAAAATGTTGGCAAAGAGTCTGCCAACTCATTGCTATTTTGCAGCGCAAACTTTACAAATTACTGCACTGGACAACAAGGTTATTTTAGGAGAGAATAAAAAAGTATAGTCAGGTCTTCTGGACGGGTTCTTCTTGTTGAAAGGGTTCATCTTCAGTCCTAAAAGTTTTCAGTCTGAGGAGCTGCCCTATACTCAAGTCACCTTTTCGTAGTGGATCAACCAGTTTGCTGGTGACAGCCAAAACTGGCTGTTCACAGGTAAAAGGAGGATCATCAGCCTAACGACCGATTATTAGTGCCCTGGTGGCCGCTTGCTATTCACGAAGGGCTGAGTTACTAGCAATAAAAGCATTGTAAGAAGGTGACAGTTGGACACGGAGGCCTCGAGCAGCTTCGGATGTTATCAGTCCATTAAATGGCCGTTATTAGTTGTTATCATCCCCATATGTAGCGGTCAAACTGTCCCACCTACCTCCTAGTAGGTTTAAAGGTATGTTATTATTATTGATGATGATAGGCAGCGTCGCACGGGGGTAAACCAGGAAGTGTCTTTTTTGTTTTTTTTCCTGCTTATGTAACCCTTTTCCTAATCGTAACCTTACACCTGACCCAGAGGACCAACCCTAAACTTAACCCCCTTACCCTTGTGCCTAAATCTAACTAAGACCCTAAACCTAACCGTCAGACCCTTTACTCTAAACCTAACCACGTGAAGCTATTATGAAAAACAGAGCCTATTATCATCGCTAACAACGTACCTTTAAACCCACTAGGAGTTACAGGAGGGGCAGTCTGACCGCTACATATGGAGATAATAACAACTAAGCCATTTAATGGCTAACATCCGAAGCGGGTGAGGCCTCCACCCCTGTTTAATGGACGGTTTCTCTTAACAAAAATGGCTTCCTCTACTCCTCTCAAACCATTGTTCCTCTCTTTCAAAGATGTACACATCTTTATGAAGATTTAGTGATACATTTGCTAATTTTAAATCTTTGTGTGCCTCTGTGAGTGTCTCTGGACACATTCACTGCCCTTGCGCCCCCCACGCCCCACGGAATGGCGGCGTCATTATATGCTTGTGTGCAAGTTATTTATTTATTTATTTTGTAAATTTTCAGACTATTAATCTTCAACCAAAGATTAAGAGCATGTCAGGATTTTTTTTTTTTTTTTTGCCTCCGAAACCTATGTTCCTATGTTGTCACTTTCACTACTTTATTGTCTGTCCAAACAGGTCTCACTTGCAAATAAGTCTTTGAGGCTCAATGTGATGTATTTGTATAAAGGTTGAATGAAAATTAAAGCTTTTTGGCACAAGAAGCCAAAATGAAAAGAAAAAAAACCCTGAATAAACTGTTCATTCATCCTTCACACCTTTGGACCAATGGAGCCTTGACTTCCTGGAAGTCCCGTCACTCCCTTTGCACCCTGCTGCCCAAGAATTCCAGTTGAACCCAGCTCTCCGTCTTCTCCTTGCTCTCCCTGAACACAGAACACCACTGATTATCAATAAAAAGGGATGTTTTTCTTTGCTCGCACTGAAACAAGTGCCACTGACAGTGTGCTCACTTTAACTCCTTGACTTCCATCTTTTCCAGGTGAGCCATTTATTCCAGGTGGGCCCTCAAGTCCTTCCCTGCCATGGACGCCACGTGGACCAGAAGGGCCCTCTGTACCCTTAGAACGGACATGAACAACTTGTGTCAAAACTTGCTTTTAGTTTTAAATATGTATAAAACTGAGTACTCGGTAGACTCTATTTGCACCACGGTTTAACAAGAACACGTCCAACTCACTGGTGGGCCTTTGGTTCCAGATGCACCCGTTGCCCCTGATTTTCCTTTCAAACCCTAAAGTATATAAAACTTGTTTGACATAGCACAATAAATAAAAGCATAGTGCTTCACAATAAAAAATGTCCCTCAGAGTGAAAGTATTTTAAGATTCTATTTTTGTCCTTACTTGATCACCTTTGGTTCCTTTCAGTCCTGGTTGTCCTTTAGACCCAGGATGTCCCTGAAATGATCAATAATGATTCAGTCCTGTGATCAGTTTTGTGTACGAAGAACATCACACTGAGCTCTACATGCTAGGAGCCAAAATGTGGATACCTACAGGAAGACCTGGAGCACCAGGTTCCCCTCTCAGTCCATTTATGCCAGTTGGACCCTGAAAATACAAATAAAAAAACATTTTCTGTCATTTTACTCCTTTTTCTTGCTACTGTAGAAACTAAAACTGGCCATTAAGGTCTGAGGATGTCACATGTTCCCCCCACTTACAAAGTGCCCTGGGTCACCAGGCTCTCCTCTTTCTCCTCTGTCTCCAGGAGGACCCTGAAATCACACGAGAATAAACAACAGTTTAACGACTCAGTCATCCCCAACAAATGGCGTACAAATATGGTGCATGGCAGAAACTCACTCTGTCACCTTGGGGTCCTGGAAGGCCCTCTGCCTTGCTGTCATCTCCCTGTTCTCCCTTAGCAACCAGAGCAGGAATAAACAATGCACATTTCACATGTTTCATTAAAACACATGGTTTCCTGTTTGTGTATGAAGGGCAAAATATTAGACAAGCTATTACCCACAACAATCCCATTTCAAAAAATGGAGTCAATGTTTGCTTAAGGATTTGTCACGAGATCCGTTCAACAATAGGCTTGAGTGTGTGTATATAGTTATGAGTTGCAGATGTGACAAATGACATAAACAAACAAAGAGATTAATATTAAATCTAAGAGAGACAGGATAATTAGTGAAGTCCACGGGCCAAAGAAATCCAACAATTGCATGAATGAAAAGCAATAAACAGTATATTTAGTGTTTCAGAATAAAATGTAATTCAGATTTGTATCGGCAGCATAATTTTAGTGCCACAATTACCTGGCACTAAATTGACAATCATAAATTTTACAATGTGCTAGCGCGATATTGATTTAATTAGAGCAGAAGCACAGCAATTAGACGAAGGATACAGGCAATGAGAAAAGAACAAATACCCACACCCAGATGGCTTCTGGCCAGGGACTAAAAAATGCAAATGAGTGTATCATGAAAGTCTGGTGCAGTGTGTATCGTTACACAGTGCTCCTGTCAAATACACACACGTTATGTGGCTAATATCTACTAAATTATAGGAGTCCAGGTGCTCTGCTAATTACAAACATTTTTAATTGGCTTTGTCCAAGTTCAGATCACTGATATAATTAGGGAGAACTGTGGGAATATTCTGTGCAACAAGACATATGAAAGAAGCACAAATTAGGGACAAAATTTAAGTCTCAATGCATCAAAAAAGCCGTTGAGCAACATTTCACCAGAGCTCATTAAACAAAATCAAACCACAGTCAACTGTTAAGAGACCGAGAACAAAAACTGAGGAAGATGTACCTTTTCACCTTTTGGTCCAGGTAGTCCAACTGTGCCCGGTCGTCCCATGTGGCCCTGTAAACACAAAAAGGAGGGCTTTATGTCTTTCAATAAATACAACCGTCTGGTCTCCATATCACTCAACTACGTGCTAATGGGCATTTGTAACAGAGAAACATAAAATCAGTTAAAACTTCTGTAAACTGACAATGCAGCAGTGTTTGTTAGTCATCACAATATTGTCTGCTGCCACAAAGAAAACTTTTTTTAAATCAGAGAAACTGTAATTATACACTGCCCGACCAAATTATTAAGTCCACCTGTTCAACTGCTTGTTAGGACAAGTAGCTAATCAGCTAATGGCGGTAACTCGATGCATTTGGGTATCTAAACATGAAGATGATTTGATCCCGGAAAATGTTTAAAATCGAGCATCAGACTGAAATAAAAGGGGGGTATAAATGGTAAATGGTACTTATATAGCATCGTTCTATCTTATCAAGATACACAAAGCACTTTACAACACAATCTATGCCCTCATTTACCTATTCATACAGCACTCTACTATATCCCTGCTAAGAATAATCTGTGCTTTATCACATTCCTACACCAATGGGACACACATCGGAGGCAATGAGGGGTTCAGTGTCTGGCCACTTTCTGTGTGTTGTCTCTGGACATGCTCACCGCCCTTGCGTCCCCCCACAGAATGTCGGCATCATTATGTGCTTGTGTGCAAGTTTTTAATATTATTTTTATTTATTTTTTCATGCTTTTGACCTTCAGCCAAATATTAAGAGCATGTTAGGATTTTTTTTTCTTTTGTCTTCAAAACCTATGTTGTCACTTTCACCGCTTTTATTATCTGTCCAAACAGGTCTCACTTGTAAATGAGTCTTCGAGGCTCAATGTGATTTATCTGTTTGAATAAAGGTTGAATGAAAAAAATAACCATTCATCCACAGCTGCCCATTTAAGTGACTTTGAATGTGACATGTTGTTGGTGTTATATGGGCTGGTCTGCCTTTCAGAAACTGCTGGTCTAGTTGGATTTTCATGCACAACAATCTTTAGAGTTTATAGAAAATGGACCAAAAATGAAAGAATGTTGCATCCAAGAATGCACAACATGTGGAACCTCTGTCAGTTATCAACAGAAAACTGAGGCTACAGTTCATGCAGGCTCACAAAAATCAGAAAAGAAGAGCTTGGAAACATTTTGCCTGGTCTGATGGGTCTGGGTCCACTGGACTCCAACAGCCTCCACAGTTCCATCCATCCATCCATTTTCTTTACCCGCTTATTCCATTTTTGGGTCACGGGGGTCGCTGGTGCCCATGTCCAGCAATCACTGTGCGAGGGGCGGGGTACACCCTGGACGGGTCGCAAGTCCGTTACAGGGCCACATAGAGACAAACGAGACAAACAACCATTCACTCTCTCACTCACACCTAGGGACAATTTAGAGTTACCAATCAGCCTAACATGCATGTTTTTGGACTGTGGGAGGAAACCGGAGTACCCGGAGAAAACCCACGCATGCACGGAGAGAACATGCAAACTCCACCCAGAAAGGCCCCTGGACCGGGGATTGAACCAGGGACCTGCTCGCTGAGAGGCAGCAGCTCTACCAGTTGCGCCACCGTGCTGCCCCTCCACAGTTCCCAGATCTCAAAATTCTCTTTGGATGTTATGGAAACAAAGACACTCTGTCCCCCTCCCCACCCCACATCCTTCCCCAAGGTCGTGGATCTGTGACAGAGCTCAACCGAGCTGGCTGGTAAAAAATACCTCTTATCAGGACTATGGCTGCGGTGGGGGGAGGGGGGCTCTAGTCTGTGCTGTGCTACGACCTTCCCTCAAACTCAATGCCTCCACTGGCCTCCCTCGCCTTCCCTGGTGCAGCAATCTATAGGAGATGCGAAGGCGCCAAAGGCTGCATCGCTCAGCTGGCGGCCATGCTGGGACCCACTCTCCCTACCCACTCCACACGCATATGTAGGATGTCTATTTATGTTCCTTTGCTGTGGTAGAATTTTTTTGATGCCTCAAACCATGCCCTGTCAAGGACACAGTGGGAGATTTTTTGTTTTATACCTCTTCTTATGTTTTTTTCCACTTTTCTTATCTAAGTAATAAGGGCAGCACTTCTTAGAAGCTGCAGACCCCTGTACACTTCTGTCCATCTTTAGGTCAGTTATACGGAAAATAATTTTGTTTTACATCACTGTGCAAGTATAATAAACGCATTCTGATTCGGATTCAATCCAATGGCACGTTTGTGATGTGGTGGAACAATAAATATAGGCAGCTGACAAATCTGCAGCAACTGTGTGATGCTACCATGTCAATATGGACCAAAATCTGTGACGAATGTTTTAAACACTGGGTTGAGTTTATTCCACAAAAATTAAGACTGTTCTGAAGACAAAAGTGGCTCAAACCCTGGCCCTAATAAAGTAGCCAGTGAGTGTACACAAACACATTATCTTACTCTAAATGGAGAGAACATGGCCATTACCGGTGAGGCGTGGAGACGATAAGTAACCCTTTGTGCAACAAATAAAAGGCACAGCAGTATTTTTTATTCAGTATATAATAAATGTTGATGAACCCCCTAAGAATTATTTAAAAAACAGCAGTGGAGATTGGACTAAACATGTTCAGTTTTCCCATTAATCATTTAATTGCTTAAAGTTTTCCTGCTGGGTGAAAATAACTCAAATCCCGCCAGAAATGTGTTTTTTTCAGAGAACAGTTTTACTGTGCAACTAATGTTTAAGACCACACATCATCGTCACATTTAATCTTTTTTCTGCTGTAGAGGGAAATCAAAATAAGACTCAAACAGAATAAAGGCTTTTATGGTCTGATTCAAATGTTAATTATGTGCCTGCCCCAAACTTTTAGAAGTACATTTTACGTGTACAAAATCTGTGCAGCTGCAGGTTTAAATGGGTGGAAAATTCAACACGAGATGCTGTCAATGTTAACTCAGGATCTCTTCTGCAAAGAAGGATTGCTGAAATATAAACTGGTGAGAATGAATGTAAAATGTCTGAAATACCAGATTTAGCTTCTAAACTAACAGATTATGGTATATATTGGCCATAAACTTTTTTTTTCTTTCGGCTGCTCCCTTCATCAGGGGTCGCCACAGCGAACTAACTTGCATGAAGACTTGGCAATTGTTTTTACACCGGATGCCTTTCCTGATTTAACCACAGACCACCGAGCTACCACAGCCCTCTGTGTGGAGCAGAGGGCTGCCATCTTGGGCATCCAGGGGAGCAGCTGGGGTCATTAAGGGCCTTGCTCAAGGGCCCAAAGTGGGGCAAATGATGGTGGAAGCAGGTGAAGGTGTTTCACCTTTCCCACCCACATTTTGATGTCAGTCCGGGGAGTTGAACCTATGACCTTCCGAGCACATGCCCACTTTCTCTAAAGTCTGCGCCACCTCTCCTGTTTATTAGCCATAAACTACTATCGGACCATTTTATTTTTAATCCATAAATTTATACAATGGTTGTTTTTCAAGGATGATGGAGATGAATTGTCTGAACAAAGAAAATGAATCGGTGAAAGACAGCTGTGCCTGGTTCATCAGGAGAGGACAATTCAGAGAAAATGTCAAGTGTTTGTTAAAGAAATCCTGCCACTGAGCCAAAGAGGTCCACAGAGTCAGCTGCCATGGCAACTGAGAGCTTTAATAATAACTGCAGTGCCGAATTATAAACCACCAATTAACAACAGCAGAACATTAAAGTAACAGCTTCTACCAGCGAGACAATAGTGCCATTCAACAATGTTCTTCATGAACTGCAGACCCTTTAAAAAATTCATTGAGGACCTCTTTATAAAACTAAAAAAAACTCCTAAAAGTAAATTGCATTGCCTTCAGATTGAAGCCTAACAATGTCAATGTTAAAAACTTAGACAATGATTTTATTTTTGTCATTTACCCTTTATTTATACAGGTAATCTCATTGAGCCACGAGAACTCATTTTCAAGAGAGACCTGCTTAGGGAGCAGATGGTGGGGGTTAAGGGCCTTGCTCGGGGGCCCAGTGTGGGGTGAATGAGGGTGGAGGGAGGTGTGGGTGTTTCACCTTTTCCACCCACATTTTGATGTTGATGGTACCGAGAGATGAACTTGCGACTTTCCGATCACAAGCCCATCTTCTAACCTCTGCGCCACCACTCCCCCATGAGACTTTTGCTTGATTGTCTAAAGGTTTTGGAGGTTTGAGGACTTTTCATGGCATCCAGCCATTGCATATATGCTTAAAATTCAGTACTTACCTCATAACCTGCTGTGCCTGGATCACCTTGTTGACCCATTGTCCCAGGAGCACCCTGAAGGAACAAATATATATATCAACTATTCCCATACACAGGATCTAATTAAATCCTTCAGTTCATGTGCTGAGCTCATACCACTGGCCCAATGGTTCCTCTCGCTCCTTTCTGCCCAACAAATCCCAGCTCCCCCGGCTCACCAATTGGTCCATTCTCACCTAAATGGCCTTGCTGACCTTTGCTCCCCTGGAGAGAGGCCACCAATGATCAGGTATGTACAGACATGCCAGAACAGATGTGTGAGGAATCTGACAATTCAAACATTTAATGCTAAAGCTCTGTTTGACAAGCACTTCCAGCACTGCTTATAAGGAGGTCACTGACCCCCCCAGTTTGTTTACAAGCACAGCAGAGAACTGTTTAAGTCCCAGTGCAAAACTAAAACTGAGAGACACCTGAAAAATGAAAAGTGTGCTCGGAGCCGAGCAAGTGAACCGACAGACCTTCTCCCCTGGCTTTCCGCCTTCCCCAGTTTTGCCAGGTTTGCCCTCCTGACCCTGATAAAGGAAATCAAAAAGGGGAGTTTAAGTGGACAAAAACACTTTTTATTAGAAGTGAGAGAAATCTGAAGACGGCTGCTGAAGAACTCACCCTCACCCCCAGAAGTCCAGGTGGGCCTAGTGGGCCTTCCTTTCCTTTCAGGCCAATTTCACCTCTGTCTCCAGGGTCGCCCTCTGGGCCAGGATCCCCCTTCTCACCCTGAAAACAGTAATGCAGGTGTAATGAAAAGCGTGGCACCTTTGAGTTAAACTGCATTTGTTAATTTGCAATAAGAAACCTTAGCAAAGATCCTGACCTGTTGTCTTGTTTTTTTTTTGTTTGTTTGTTTGTTTTTTACAATTGAATACAAACTTGTACAACAAAATCAAACTATGGTAACAACAATAAGGTTTTAGATCATCCTATGATGAGAAGGAACAGAGTGATTATTGTTTCCATCGATCCATGTTAATGGTATTCACATCTATCCTGGACTATTGCAGTGATTTGTTATCTGGGTGTCCAAATACGTCTTTAAAAAAGTCTTCAGTTGATCTAAAATGCTGCTGCCAGAGTCTTAACTGGAGTTAGTGGGAGAGATCACATCTCTCCAGTTTTAGCTTCTCTCCAATGACTCCCTGTCAAATCCAGAATTGAATACAAAATATTACGTCTAACCTACAAAGCTCTCAACAACCTAGCTCCACGTTATACTACAGATCTTATTGTTCCATATTTTCCTAAGAGAGCACTTTGCTCTCAGACTGCAGGTTTACTTGTGGTTCCTAGTTTCCAAAAGCAGAATGGGTGGAAGAGCTTTCAGTTATCAGGCTCCTCTCTTGTGCAACCAACTTCCAGTTTCTGTCCATGAGGCTGACACATTGTCCAGTTTTAATACTGGGCTTAAGACTTTCCTTTTTGATAAATCCTATAGTTAGGGTTGGCTTGTTATACTGCTATAGGCTTAGACTACTGGAGGGCAAATTTACCTAATTTCTCAAAATTAAATATTAAAATTGTATACTTTTCATTTTATACAATTTCTATCTTAACATGTGATTCTCAACCTGCCATTGTGTATCTGTTCCTCTCAAACCCAGCCGGTTGAAGCAGATGGCCGCTGGTTGCGAGCCCGGTTCTGCTAAAGGTTTCTTGCTCATGAGGGAGTTTTTCCTT